CATCTCCTGCTGGGACGCTGCCAGGAAAGATTCCCACTGTGGAGTTTTGCTCAGAGCTATAGACCTAAACCTGTTTATTTATTTTAACAATTCAAAGAACCTTTTTTTCCACTTGGGTATCGCTTTCTCTCTCGCTCGCTCTTTCTCTCTTTTATTAACTTTATGGGAATTTCCATGGAAAGCTTTTGTAATGTAAGTGATTGTGCAGTACAAGAAACCATTTGTGCGATGCTGTTCTTGGAAAGGCACGGGTTAAGTGATCCCCGCTCTGTTATTTGACCTTTTTTTTTTTTTTTATGAACCATGCCCTTGCAAGTGATGACACGAGAACATCTGGATGCCACTCTCGCAGTGAGCATTTCTGAATAACGAGGAATCATTAAACAGCATTCAAACATTTGTGTACTTGAGATTATGCAACAAAGATAAACAAACAAAGACCATGAAACCAATTCCTGGCAAGCTGTTTCTCTTTACTTTGTCTGTACAAAGGGTCAGCAGAAACCAGACTCTAGATTTTTATTACTAACAGGACATGACATGCTCCAGTGGAAGAAGATTTATTGCTAAATATAGTATACCACTTGGTGCAAAAGTATACATTTAAGGTGTTACCCAACAGTCAGGTAAAGTTTACTTAAAACTTGAAGGTGTTGGTTGCTTAATCTTATGCTGTTGTGACTGTGGACGGCTGTTTTCACACATGCACAACACAGAAACTTATTTGTGAATAATACATTTTTTTAAATTCCAGAAAGACCCAAATTTACCGGCCACCTCTGTAAATTTCAACAAGAAGTCAGAGTAAGCTAAGATGTGGATGACTGAACATAAGATGCACAAGAAGTGGGCGCCACCTCTCCAATTTGCATGAACATGCATTGCTCACCCACACCCGTAACTATAGTACTTTCTGTTTCATTATTGATTTTACTCTAAATGGGACCATAATTAACATACGGTCCCGTCATGGCAAAGGGGCAACCACTTGTTTTGTAAAAAGGATTAAGTGAAAAGGTACAAAAATCTGCAGATCATTGAATGTCCACTTGAAGCTGGCTCAAGCCCCAGTGGCCCCTCTAACCCTCATGTTAAAAGGTCTGTTTTAGCAGAAAAGGTAAACATGTTTTTGGTCTGAACGCTTCATTTGTATGCACAGTTTGTTTGTTTTCTGAAGATGTTGAAACTCAGGGTTATGCATAGATTTGCATAATTAAAGACAAGCACAATGTGGTAATTTGCCAGGAGGCCTAAGGCTTTATGAACTCCACCTCATTGTCTCGTCCCGGGTCAACTAAAAGTTAGGTATAAGTCAGCATTTCCAATCAGCGGCTGTTGTTTTGCTTCATAATGCCGCTTCAGAAACCAAAGAGTGCCATCTGTGAAACCACATCCATGTTTTATAGAGTCTGTGATCATCACATACTGTACTGAGGCACACTTCCCAATCAGTGCACTCGCCCCCTGCTGGTGGCTGGAAAGATTGCAGGGTAAAGTTCTTCTACACTGACTTCACATTTGAAACCATAAGGCTAGCTCCACTTTTTATGTACTTTCAATCGTTGAAACTTGCTTCTTGTCTGCAAACATGCAGTTATGTAACAGGTTTCATGGCTCTGATTGGCATTGGAGTGTTTTATGTTGTTTTTTTTGAGTATCAAAATTAGAAGAAGTTTAAACTAAAGATAAATTGGTTGGTTTGGCAAGCAATGGTTCCCTTTGTAGATTTGTTCAAAAGAATAACATGATTATACTCGCATTTTAACGACCCATTTCTTCTACTTTCTGTTCTGTTTTGTTTCAGCATTTTAAAAAGCACCTCTGTAGTGTCTCTGTTTCCATTAGTTCCCAGCCTCCCCACCATCATCCAGCTTTTCCCTCCCCTGCTCTCTCCCTCCATGCAAGCCTGTGCTCCATAGGGTTACTTAGACCCCAGAGCCCCACATGTGTAAGGGGATATCTCCTCTCCTCGGTCAGCCTACAGCAGGAAGCTAACTCAGAGACTCTGCTGCTGCCCCAACGCTCTGCAGGCAGAGCAGTTAGAGGGAAGAAAAGACGAGGAGCAAAGATATGAAAACATCATCAGTGGACTGGAAAGCTGCTTGATTCTTGCTCCCAAAATCCTTGTGTAAATATAGTACACATTCCCAAAGAGCACGCACACATATACACACAAACACTACTGGCATATGTCTGGAGGAGGGATCAACTGGATCAACCACAGCGCTAGGCTCTCCTCAACTTTCTGTCCTCAATTTTGCAGCCCTGCGGAGGTAAAGCATCACCAGATTGTTGGTTTTGGAGTCTCTCTGATTACTCCTGACTGCTCTGTTCAAGCAAACCATTACGGACAAAAATATTACATCTTTTCAGAGAGTATTAGGAGTATTAAAGCTTGGCGGCATGTGATTACGATCAGCCTACAATGCAAATATTGTTTTTCTGTATCTGATATTTCCAAACCTATATATGAAAGTAACATGTTCTTTTTAGGAAATATCTTCTTGATCCCGAGCTGTTTTTTATTAAAACATGACAAACCTGATGATGAGATACAGAGCCAGATTATTTGTTCAGTGCAGTAGCAGAAAATTACTGTTATGGTAAAAAAAAAAGCTCAATATGGGTGGCACAAATCCCATGCAAGTGTACCAGTTTTAAGCTAACCCTGTGCAAGTCCATGCACATGCACACACATAAACACACACATGACTGGAATGCAGCTTTAGCACCCTGCGCTGTGGTCAAAGCTGAATGCCTCTCAAATAAGCATGATTTTGCCTCATGAAAGGGAGCAAATACTTCACATTTTTAACAGTTAAAGTTCAACTACACACTAAAGGTTCTTTTTACCAACATTTTGCTTGTAGGTTTGAACCTTAAAATTACATTTTACATCACTGTGTAAATGAATATTGTAATTTTGTGCTGCTAAAATTCTAGCTTACTTTCTAATACTGTGCATGAACCCATCAGAGGGCATTCCTCGTTGATTATTGTGGTTATCAACTTCTTTTAAAGAAACTGGAATGAATGTGTGAGCCAAAATGGACGTAAAACATGTATAATTCCGTTATCTAAGCTTTCATATTGTTGTTGTGTTTTTTTTTTTTTCACAGAGCCAATGCATCACTCGTCAAGATTAGAAGGGTTCAGATAAGGAGACTTCTGCAGCTGTGTTGTTTGACTGGAAAGAAAACACATGCAGGAGGCTGACCAGACAAGACAGCGGTGTCTATTTCTCAGGTTTTAGCCAAGAGGAATGCAAACAGCTCCCTTGATTTTCTGGAGAAACACTCAAGGAAGTAAATTATTGAATTTCAGTGCTGAAATATAGCCGGTGCAAAAAGAAATCAAGTAAATTCATTGGAAGCTGTTGTTATTCTTGGTTTCTCTTTAGAAGTATAAGGCAGACTTTTTGTTTTATGGCCCAATGTGGCAATCTGAGGAAGTGTCGCAGTTAACAATATACTGCTCATACTGTCAGGCATCACTGCAGGACAGCAATACCTAGTTAATCATGAACGCACTCTGTACACTAGGGCTTGTGTCTTTCTTTGCTGTCTGCCTGATTCACGCTTAGCAAACAGCCTCATAGTGCTACTGCACTTTGGACTTCTGTGTGTGTCTTTGTGTGAGCGTGAGGATGCAGAGGCCAATTCAACGAGCGAGCACATGATTTTGAACTAAGCTCTAAAACTTATCAGAAGAAAGAAGCGGAAAAGTAGTCGGGTTTATGTGTTTGCAAAGCTGACTGAGGAGAATCTTGTTTCATCACCTCCAGAGTTCGTCTGCAGATCTTTCAAAGCTCTAACTAAGATGTAGCCTGAGAATACTTGAGACTAAACTCCATCACAAAGAGCTGTGTTTGCCTGACCTCCACTCTTCTAGTCTATCAGGGTGCAGGCTCTGGTTTGGTTTGCCAGGCCTGAGCAAAACAATGTTTGCTCTTCTTTACAGCCCCTCTGTTTGTTTTCCCCTTCACTGGAGCGACCACCTCTTTCTCTCTCTCTTTCTCTCTTTGCAGCACATCTTGCCACATTTGGGGTCACTTTGTTAGCCCACCCACCTGGATTGGAGTGTGTCAGGCTCCAGAGATAACGACACAACTGCGCGGTTTTACTGCAGGGATGCCACACTCTCTGTTGCAACACACATATGAAGTGATAATCTACCATTTAATTTGGCGGGCAGATCTTCTCTCTGATAGACAGCTTTTCTCTTTCTCAACTTTGCCAAGCTTTCCCTCAGGGACACCATAAATAATCTGTGACGGGAAAATAAAGCAGTGACTGAGAGTTAGAACCGGTTCATAAACCATATGTTATCATCAAAGGTAGCAATTATCGGATAGATTTATTTCTAAAAGTATCGCACCTGAATTCATAAATTAAAAAATGTGACAAAGAGATTAGACATTTGAGATGCAAAAATGTGAGCGTACAGATTGAAATAAGGCAGCTTTTGTTTTAAAATCAAGTTAGGAGCCAAGCAAGGCCACAAAAACAAAATGCCAAATAAAAGACGATCTTTGTTTTGCTTGTTTTGCTGCAGGCAATAGTCTGTTGTTCTGATTTTAAGCCTAAATTTTACACATATTAGCCACAAAAATTGATTTATATGCCAAAAATTTATGAAACTTATCACCACAGAAACATAAAATCACACAGCTCAACTTTTATTTTGCATTTTTAAAACTATATTTGATTTGAAAAGGGTTGTAATCTAAAGAAAACATCAAAACTCTTCCACTCTGTGTTTACTCATGAATCCCACAAGCAGTTTGCATACAAGCCTCTTATTTATCCCCTACAAGCTCAGAACAACATACTCCAAACTATGATTTACAAATCCCAACAACACCTCAGTCATAATTGTTAAGGGGGTATTATTAGTTCAGGCAGCTCGCTGGAGTGCAGGAGAATCACATGAGGCCTTTAAAGGGGGATGGGCAGAGTTTTCAGAGGGTGGTATGGCTTTAAGAGTTTACTACCATCTCTGCACTCACTCAGTCAGTCTCACACACAACACAAAGTTTGGAGGGCAGGCGAGGGCTGGTGGGATACCGATAGGAAGCGCAGAGGAAGAGGAATATCAAGCATAAGCGAGAATGAGAAACAACGTGGGAACTTGGGGGAGTTGGTTGAAGAGAAAGTGAAATGCGCATGGGCTAATCAACAACGCCGGAGCGAGAGACTTTCAATGGAAGTGAGTGAACCAGTAAAGCTGTGAGCGGAGTCAAAAGCGCAGATTTGAGCAAAGGGGGGCTTTCGTGTGATTCCTATGACCGTGCTCGTAAATCTGGAAAGTGCTGGCACACCGGGGGACTACACGAGCTCTCTGAATATGAAAGAGAAGAGTTTACACAAACTCCGAGAGAACAGTTAGGGGATATGAGCGCTCATTCCTGGATTTCGTTGCGATATTTTCCTCTCTCGAGTTCAGTTTTGCGTCTTTGGGGATGTTTGCGAGTTGCATCTGTGTGGCTTCAGCTCGGATACTGACCCGGCTCTGCGCCCTGGTGCTGGTGGTCGCTGTTGGACTCGGTTCAGAGCTGCGGGTCCGGGTCCGGCTTTCGGACGGGCTGGTGACCGAGGAGGTGTTGGAGGCGGACAGTGAGAGGGACTCCATATCGCTCGAATTCAAGCAGGGAGATGGGACACTTATCACTTTTGTGGCGGACTTCAAACAGGTGAGAGGTGGTGCTGTTTACTGCTTAAACTAAACGGTGGAGCCTTCAGGGGACATTGTTCCCCACTTAGTCTGTCACTTTGACTATAAAGAAGTGGAACATACAGTTAGGAAGGCTCACATAACTGTTTAATGGTGAACTCTGCCTAAATAATAGGGCTGGGACAATGTGCTTCTACGATTTTTTGATGCCGATTCGATTTAAATTGCGATTCTCCGATATTGTCGATTTTAAGTCTGCATCTTTAACACCAGGGGAACAGTTGAATGATTATGATTGTCTAATGACTATTTCAGGAACCATATTTCCCCCAACAAATACACATCACGTGTAAGTCAGTTTTTAAGATTTATTCTTAAATTTAAAAAAATAGTTTTTTGAATATTAAAATTGATTTAAATATTGAAAAAACAAAAATTGCAATACTTATGCGAATCAATTTGTACCAAATGAAGTTGTCCACTACAGCAAGACAGGGGGCCTATTTGTGCTCCCCGAGGGATCCCCAATTAACCATACCATTTACTGTATGTCCAAAAGTCTTTAAGTTAATATAAAAAGAATATCTGGGGTGTAGGTTGACATGTAAAGGCATCCTCTGTGCCAAAATCCTCATGACCTCGTTTCAATCTTACCTCTAGACCTCCTGGAGCTCTCTCACGGACTGCTCATGGTCCCCTGTCTTCACTTTGGGAACCTTAATTTGATTTAAATTGACAACTGTTTTCCCTACACAGGGATGCCTGGGCCTAAACACATTAAAAAGGGTGTGTGAGTGATTCACATGACCTAAATCCCTTGTTCTAATATATGACCAAATCATGTTGTGTAAAACACTTTTCCCTTATAGATTCCTCCACATTATCACCCCTTATAGAGAGAGAGATCAACTCTAAATCTTCTGTGGAGTTTGTCAAGAGTGAAATGAATACAGTGGTTTGCTGGCTCATGCTACACGGTCGCCTCTGATCAAAGATGCATGCTCATCCAAAGCATCCAAAAAGCCAAGAACTCTCAAAGCAGTTACTGTAACTCTCTCGTGAACTTAAGTAGAGCTCTTCATTGATCTTTTTCCATCTCAGTGTGAGTTTCAGTGAGGTTAAGACAGCTGCAGCTCTTCAGATGTGGATGTCCATAGACCCCAGTGGCCCTACTGCTCTTAGGGCCAGAGCTGATCATTAGCCGCCATATTTAGCATTCTTCTAAAAGTAGACAAGCAGATCGAGTGTCCCTCTCCATGGTCAGTGCTTCATCCATACTTTTTCGGAAAGTTGACACTGTTTCACTTTTGACAATGACTGCTCAGAGACACATAAATGTCAGAGCTGGAAGAAAAACCACAACTGTTATGTGTAGAGTTGGTGGGTGTGGGTCGTGGTGGTGGTGGGGGCGCAGAGAGGCGCACAGAGCAAAGGCATGTGTCTGTGATGGTTGCTGTCACACAGAAGCTGACAGGCTGGCGAGATGAGAAGGGGGAGATTTACCAGGATTAAGTGGGCATGTCTGACCTTTTTGATCTGCACGTCTGGTTCACTAACCAAAACAGCTAATTTCAAGTTGAAAGAGAAGAGGCCGTCACCCCCAATCATTGGTGACAAACTGATATAAAGAGATGTACACTGATCTGTGAGAAGGCAGTCTGCCCTCTGCTCGGTGGTGCTGGAGCCTTTATGTTGCTGCGTCCCCTCCTGCATGCACATATGGTTCTGTTTATTTGAATAAAGCCAGCAGAACCTCTTAGATCACTTAACTTTTCCGCTGCCTGATTTATCTCTTCAGTTGTAGGTCAGCCTCTCTGCCCCCCCCCCCTCTCTTTCTTTTTTCTCCCTCTCCTTCTCTGTCAGTCCCTTCTGCTCTCCTCTCATTTCTTCTGCATGTGGTTTTCATTCAGCTCTTGTGCACTATCTCCAAGATTTATGGAAAGTTGGATGAGGTGTCACTTCCAGCTGCCATGAATATACAGTCCAGCACGTGGGAAGTGGAGCGTTATAACAGGGATGTTAAACACCAGAGATTTGTAATTAAAAACACAGCCAATGGCAGATAGGTGCTGTGAAAGTCAAAGTAAAATGTAGAAGGATTAATCACAGTCAGCCATCATAAGTCTGAATATTTTTGATCCACTTACATGCTTGATTCCTCAGGGATTGAGGTCTGTCAAAGCAGGATAGTTAAAAAAGAGCTCTGTTAGTAATCACCAGACTTTTTTCTTCTGCTTTGTGACTACGTGGCAAAGATGTGATGGCAAATGTTATAGCCATCAGACACTAGCTGAGCAAGAAGGAAGTTTAGTCAACCTTATACAGGACATGAATCACTGAGAATCTGCTGTGATTTCAGGAGGGTAAGGATTGCTCTTCAGACATATGGAAAATATGATGTGGTCTAACTCACCCCTCACACCTCTGTGTCATGTCGAGTAAATCTCAACATGTAGATAACATTGCCTATTAAGTTTTAACCTCAGCCGAAATGTTCTGGTGTCATTTTTATGAAAGAGGCACATCATGGAAGAGAGTTTATCACCCTCTGGTTATTCTGTAATTTCATTTTTACATTGCTTAACTGGCTTTTTGCAAGGTAGGATAGGGGATTTCTGGAACAAAATCTCAATATTTCATCCTATCTGGTTTTACAGTGATGTATTTACAGCTCAATCACCTCGAAAATATGTAAAATTGCTCCAATATGTTGGCAGTTCCATGTTATCCTGATGACAGCATGCAATTTTGCAACATAAGATCAACCTGATGTGCTGTACAGCATGTAGGAGACCACTCTTAAATCATGTGGGGGTTAACTTTCTGTACAAATCTTTTTTTTTTCCTCCACTTTTGCAACAATTTATAGTGCAACACAGTCTGAGACCTTGAGCTAAACATAAACCATGTCATGGAGTTTAATCCGAGGGAAATGTCTCACATATTTTGAAAGGCTATTTTGGACTTCATCCAGATGCGTTAAGTTTGTAGGAAAGGGAAGAGTAGAGAAGCTCATCAGTTTGTGCTCACTGTGTCCTGCTTTAATGTCAAACTAGTGGGTTTGATCACTGCAGGAATGCGCGCCACCGTTGGCCTCTCAGATGAGCACTGGAGGAGGGTTGTAGTCTCACATGCGATTGTGCATGTTTTTGGTTCTCTTCCGACTTGGGCTTCATAAACCTTGAACCTTGATCTCCAATTTAAACCTACAACCCCTTAATACTGGTGCAAAACGAAGCACAAGTTTGGATAAGGGCAGTAAAAGCGGACATTTTCCAAGCTTGACTATCATTACCCTCTATGCTTGCATCATACTGACGTTACTTTTAATTGTCACATGATAATTGGACGGAAACCAGGGGATTTTTTGGGAAGGTACTCAAGGGCCTGAGTCACTGACAGTGTTTTTTTTGTTGTTGTTTTGGCAGTGCCCACAGCTTCAGAGTGCCTACTCATGCTGTTTGAGAAGTTTACACAAGGCACACCCACTTCCCTGACCGTTAGGTCTGTTTTTAATTGTTTTATGCGCAAGGAAGTTAATAATTACAAATGTATGTAAGGAGATTTTACAAATGAAACACCAAAACAGTGTCTTTGCAAGAGCAGATTATACCCTTGAAACAGTAAATCTAAATAGTCTCTCATCAGTCATCCGTAGATTTTGACTGATCAAGGGAGAAGTGACACTTATGACTCTGGGTTAGGTTGATGTTTAAACAAATAAACAACCTCATTCTCTGTAGTCGTCATTGGAATTACTAGTCTTATGTTGTGCCTAAGCAGTAACACAGCCTTGCCACTAGCCGAGCTGTGGCTCTGAATGATAGCGACTGCTTCTTACCCTTTGACAACAAGAACATGAGTCGCTTAGGAGCATCCCTGATGAGCATGGTGGTGGTCCACAAGGTTGGAAATTTTTCCGTGGAGGGACTGTGAGGGCTCAGACAGAAACAGCTGGTATGAGAGTGCTTGTGCACTTAAGATGCTTGAAAGTTGACTTCACTGATTACATATCTTCTAGCACAATGAAGGTTGTTAATGGACACAGGCCCTAACTATGTCATCAGATTGGAGTGTTGACTGATTTACTGTCACATTGGACGCCCATACTAACACTGGCACTGGTATTGTTACAGGCATATTTATCACTGGAGCTAAGACTGAACGTTTTTGAAAAGCATGGATGGATCAAGACATTAAACTTTGTTGCTCAGCATTTTTCTGGGTCAGAAAGCCGAAATTTGTCAGGGTATGAAGAGACAGCATGTGAGACCCCTTTCTGAGCAAATAGGCCAAGGGAGCAACAGATGTTCTTGGCCACTTGACACTCACTGCTTTACACTAGTATGTTAAATGGGTCTGCACTTTGTAAACAATAGCACTGTGATGATAAAGAGCATGTCAGCTGTTTTTAATTGACAGATCTTTATTTCGTTTTGGCTCTATTACAGAGGCTTGTCTTTCATCCGGGGTAGTTTTTACCCTGAGGTTACAGCACTGTCGTGTATGTTCTGATTGTGTTCAAAGCACACAGGCTTCATGGATACACCCAAGCTGTAAGAATGAGCTGGAGATTCTTCACACACCCTCATGTGCTATGTCAAAAGCAGAATGAGAAGGCAGGTTAGTTGGCCTTTCTATGTGCCCTCCCCTTGGGGTATACAGTGTCTGTTCTCACACAGCCTTCAGAAACTGTGTCAAACATCAGGGGCTGTTAAAACGGATTTGGGTTGAGGCATTTATGAGCTATTGAACGAACTCATTCGGCCCAGCGTGGGAGGCTTGTTAAGAACCCATTTTGTCCTCCTTGTTTGTGGGAAATTCTGTTGTTTGCCAAATGAAACAACTGCAAGTCAGTGCAATGCCGTCACCACATTTTATGCCTTGCTTCTTTTTTTTTTTTCTCCCCCTCTGGATGCCACACCTTACCTCTGAAACACCATCCCACTTTGTCACTTGCACAAACTTGTCAAGTCTTTGTAACAGGTAAGTGTCACCTGTTCTGGGAAATGTTGTTGCTTCACAGACACTGTTTAGGGAGCATTATAGGGGCGCAGGGGTTTGCCTTTTATACTGTTGTGAAAGGTCAGAGCGAGTCATCTGCGAGTCATTGATAGATACAATCAGCTGTGGGAGTAGCTGTCCTGGATGGAATAAAAATAAGACCATCCTGCCAGAAAAGACTTGAGTTTTTCCTCCGTTACCGTGGTAAATTCACAGGTGATCCAACTTTTTTTATTTTTTTATGAGCAGCGCTGTAAAAACCCTTAACTCCTACACAGTTTCAGTCCTCACTGTATAGTGCCTTTCTATGTGGGCGAGATAGTCTCACACTATGAGGTCCTGTAAGGTCACTCTTCAAAAACTAGTGCACAGATAACGTTTTATAGCTGAGATTAACTCTAAATATACAGCTCGTTAATGTTTTTTTTTTTCCTGGCACCTTATCCTACAATATGTGCAGGCTGTGGATCTTTTCAGAGATGAACCTATATGCTAAAATCTTTTCTCCGAGCCCCTCTTTGTTCCCCACTGACTCCCAGTCCTGGAAAAATAGCTTATTCTGTGGCCTTGTCGTGGCCCTTCAAGGCCCCTACATGGGCCCCCTTTGGCCTCTCATGGCCCCTGTTGATGTCTTTATCCTTTATCCTCCTCCCACAGGCAGGCCAGATGTTCGTCTGTGGGGCTGTGATAAAAGAAAAAAGGCTTTCCATTCCCACAGAAGTGCAAGGAAAGAGGTCGCAGCAGAGAGTGACACATCTTAAGAGCCTCTTTTAGTGATCTGAGGCAGTGGACAGCAGTAGTTGCGGCCCACGTGGAGCATATTTTGATAATTTCAAGCTACCTCAGAGGTTTTAAGGTTGCAAAAACCAAACAAAGGGTTTACTCTGCCAAAACTTGTGTCCTGTTTTCCATCCAGTGTCCTCAAATGTCCTTTTGTCAAATTAGTGGCTGCGTCCTTTCAGCGAGCCCAGTCTGGTTACTTTCAAAATCTCATTTATCCACCTTGCTTGACTTCGCCTTGCAACCCATGTGACAGTTCTCTCAGATATATTACTTAGGCTGTAAAGATCCACACCTGGGCAAAGTATTGCATCACCCTTTTTCTTGTCAAATAAACAGCTCTTGTGTCAGTTTTCCGGTCATGAAACACTGTCTCGTTTAAAAAGAAGCAAAAATGTTGTAATGAAGACAGGATGGCTGTAACTTTTTCAAAACATGTAGTAGAAAATGACACCAGGTTGCTATTACAGAAAAAAAAAAATCCAAATATATTCATAGAAGTAAAAACAAAAGCATGTTTGCGTGCCTTTTTAAATGTCATTAAAGAGCTTTCTGTGTGTCCCCTACAACAGGATATGAAAGCTGTGGGACAACGGTCAGAGGCTCAATGGGACTATAGCCATCTCCATTGTTTATGCCTTATCTATCTGCCTCATTTCCTTCCCTGTTAGCACCCACTGTTTGTCTCCATCTCATTTCCTGAATGCAGGGTCTCCATAAACAGTGGGGGTGTCTGGATAATTGTATCCAGATTCTCCATGAATCAAAAGTTCCCTCATAGTAGCCGGGACATATTTTGCACAAGTTTTAAAGACTGCATGTTGGATGTTTGGAGGGCTGTTGTTTTTCTGCTTTTGTGTGTGTGATACTGAAATTGTTGGGAAAGTAAGTTACCTTCCATTGTTCTGAAAAGAGAAGCCGTGAGGAACACCTTTCTTCTTCTTTCTTCCATGGCCTGCAGTGTTTTTATTGTCACCGCCACTGTTTACTAATTGGCTAGCTCCCTTGGACAGCCAGGTGTGACCCAGCCTCAAATGTGACTCCACATTCCTGCCTTTGGAGACTGTGTAATTAGCTTCAACTCAAGCATTTCTCAGCACAGCAGCTTTTCTCCCGCTCCTTTTGTCCGTGTAAGTAAGTCTCACCCCTCTCTCCCTCTTTCTCCCAACATGATCTTTAATCCCTGCCTACACCTGGGGCTTCTCTCTACCACAAAGGCAAATATCCTCCTCAACACCAAACATGGTAGATCTTTATGTTGTCTTTAAGGAGGAGGGGCAGAATGGTGAGAGACTTAGTGCAAACTCAGGCCAATGACATCCACTGGGAGACTCCACGATAGACTTTGCATTAGAACTGTAGATCTTGGTGCTGTCATGTTTTTAGAACTTTTTGCTTTAATACTTTGATTGATGATCTAATTCCAGACCAACCCAAACACCCACACGGACCCACCATGATCCCAAATGAATCATCAGAGCGTGGCTGACCAGCAGGCCTCCCCAGCCAGCCGTCAGCCTTATCAACAGACAGGGTCTTAGAGGGGATTGGAAAACAGGAAGAACCTCCCGCACAGGGAATAGCTGCTGGCACACTGTTTGTGTTTTCGTGTGGGTCTGTGTGTGTGCGCGCGTGTGTGTACATACATTAGTGTGTGTTTAAATGTCCACCCATGCATGCGAGTGTGAGTTGGCACACTTTGTACAATCCTGCAGCAGAAGTCGTTTCACTCTGATTTTCGAACAGCTTTAACTAAAGAACTTTATTTTTGTCGTTCAGCTCTGGCCCCACACACAGCTCTCATTTTCTCAGCCAGTGCAGCAGGTACAAGCTAAGTGAAAAGAAAGTATTTGGTTAGCTGGCTTACAACTACAGTGACTGAGAATGTGCACTGTAAATGCCACCCTTTGACCGGCTGAATAGGCTTTTGTGCACCTCTTAAATAACCTGGCCCACCAAAGGTAACCTGCTATGAAACAGCCCCCCACCTCTCCGCTGTTAAACAGGTCATAGTGTGACCTGCTAGTCACTTTTCATGAATACAGACTTGTGTTTGGCTGTTGGCCACTGGTAGTTTGTCTCCAAATGGACTAAGTCCCGGGTGTCGGGGAGCGATGCTGTGGAATCTGTACTTGTGTGGATTATTTATAGCCTTGCTGACATTTACAGGGCTCTGGTCGGGGAAAACTCAAGGCTACACTGTCCTTTGATTATGGTATTACCCCGTCTTTTTCAAGACAGGGAAATGTCACCCTTTTAATTCTTAATGTCCGCACCTGGTGATTTTCTCTAAATGTTGGTCTGCAGACCTTTAATTTGATTTAGGTCTGTGAAAATGCACTTTTAGGTGGTGACTCATTCTCCAGATGTAGTCCTTACCTCTTACTCGTGAATTTAAGTAGTCTTACTTCTAATTTTCAGTCTCCAGGCTGCTGACTTGACTACCATGACCTTAAAATGAATCCGTGTTTTTCTGCACAGATGTGTCACTCGGCTTCACATCATCTGCTGAACCTGAACTTCTTTCAACAACAACAACTCAACACCTGTCTCTTTTAGTTCTCCTGATTGTTTGTCAAGTTTTGCCGCGTCTAAACTTCTTTTATAAAGAATCTGCATAAATCACTGCCAAACACATCTGCTATGTGAGCTGATCTTTTATTTTACAAACAGGTAGCTGTTATTTGCTCGGTACACATTCTGTCCTGGTATTTGAATACGGCCTATCATCAAAACAACAGGTGTAAAACCCCCTTTAATCACACGTCACATGTGTTTCATTCCTTTGCTGCATTGTCTTTTATTACTCTACACTTTACACAAACGAGTCAGTGTGTGCATGTGCCAGTGCTGGTTTCAGGCAGGCAGAAGTGAGTCTCGTCTTGTCCAAACAAACAGCTAAATCCAGCGGCTTCTGTCTGGACAGAGATGTGGGGATGATGTCATTCTCAATACTCTCACTATGAGAAGCCATACTGATTATTATTACCACGGGAGTATCCAAACCACTAAGATATCAACACTGCTCTGTTATTACTATTGGAGGTGTCAGAAGATATAATGAACTGATTGCAGCCAAAACCTCAATTGTCAGTTTTCCAACAAAGATTTTCCATGAATGATACATCTGACTCCTGGGGGACAGGATTTGTTTATTAATAATGATTTAAAAAAAGGGGGATTAAGTTTAACTTCTGTAAATAAAGCAGATTGGATTGGATTGGATAAGTTTGCTTTGTCCAGAAGGGCACAAACCAAGAAACAAAGATCCCACAGGAGTTTTAAATGGTTTAGCTTTTCTCACCTTAGCTTGCCTGCAAACAAGAGGAAATGGCAACACTAGATCCAGCACCCACCAGAACTTCTGTATCTAACCTGAATCATGTTTGGCCTCATTTGTTTAAACTTAAAGCTCATATAAGAAGTTTTTTTGACATGAATGAAACAGACTGAATTTCATGTTGATGCTTTTTTATGATATCCGAAAATATTTGAAGCCATCAGGAACAAGACTGAGGATTTTTAGATCCGGATTTCTAACGGCTGAAACTGGTGTGAGAGGGTAGGTGATCACTCGAGAAGCGGAGGAAACAACCCTCTCTTTGTTTTAGTCCTCTTAACTGGACCCAACGCTTTCATGAGTTGTTCTCATGTTTTCATGTTTACTTCTTCATACGCAAAATAAACCAGCAGCTACTTCAGCTGTTTGTACTTCAATTACCAGCAAGTTTTACATCTGTTGCTGTATTTGTGTTTGAACTATTGTGATAGCACTGCAAACACAACATAATCCACGTATTGAGGCACGTCAAAGACGGCCACAAGTTGTTATTCCTGTTTCTGCTTCAGTATTTTGGTGAGTCAGCTTACTTCCATTTTTCAACACAAAGCTTAGCTCATCTGCCACTGACTATTTAGCATACATATGTGAAAGGAGCGTTGTTATCAGAAAAAAAGTTGTAACCATAGTGAGCAAAGTTGCCCTCTTCTTGCCCCCTTTTGGCCTGACTCCAGAGCAGGGTAGCAGGAGTAGACAATCATTAATGTGGATATATAATTAGACAAGAGGAGTAGGAGGAGGAGGAGAACTCAGCGTCTACCATTCAGGAACATGCAAAGAAGCCTAGTTGATGGAGAAACCCTGCTTCTCTGTAATTACCCAGAAAGCCCTGGGGCGAATCTATGTGCACAACAGGAATACCTTCCCTCCTCTCTGTGCCTACACTTCCACATGTACACACACAGCGTCCCCGCGTAGCGCCATGTGTCTGCAGCATGGGAGGTCTTGAAGTCGTGGCCTCTGCCTTTCTCTGTACTCGAGGGGGAAACAGCCTTTTTAGCCCCCTGCACTTTTGACAGTCTCTTTAATCATCCATACTTTGTTCTTTTTTAGAAGAAATACCAGAGCGCCGGGTCATAATCAGCAAATTAACATCTGATCCTTTGGGGACTTGTTTTCATACAACACTGAGAAATCTGAGGTTAATGTCACATAAAACATGTGAACCAGTATTTGCTCAAAAATGTGCTTTCCAAAGGCCAGATAGTCTTGTGTGGTTGTTTTGTGTAATTCACATGCTTGTATTGTACCCCTGCTAGGAGCTCTTTTTACAGACTAAAGTGGTTCCCCAGTAGAGGAACCAGCGATCATGCAAAGTAGTCTATAAAGAGCCCTACTGAGTGTTACACTTCCAAAGCAAGGCTGCATTGCTTCTGTGCCAGGGGGTTCACTGTTGCATACAGGAAGTGGGACCAAAGAGCTTAGGGAGGACTCGATTGGGTTATCTCTGGCCTGTTTTATCTGTCCCGGAGTTTCTCCTGCTTCTCCTCCACAGCCTGTTGGCTTCAGACGGCTGTGTGAAAAGCGGAGGAGGGGTGTTTTTGGGACTGCCTATCTATGAGCTGGAACCAAAGAGTGTAGTGGGGAGTGGGATAGGGGGTTGTCTGTTGAATTGGAAGACAGGTCTGGTGCTCTTTTCTCCCCACTGCTGGAGCTTCCCATCATGCTTTGCATGCCCCCTCACACAACTCTCTATGGCCTTGGGTTTGGCGCCAGATCTCTCACACACTTGCCAACAGCAACAAGTTTTTTTTTTTCTGTGAACGCTCCACCATCGCTGGTTTGCTACTCATACAGTTCCACATAAAACAGAGAGGTAAAATGTGTCATGAGGGGAGCTATGATTTATGTGTCAGAAACATGTAAAAGGATTTAATTTGATAGTGCAAAATAACCAGACAATAAAAAAGAGTCAATGAAGAGCATGAGCAACATAAACCTGTCTTTACTTTTATCAGGCAGAGGTTTGAACGTCCATAAGCTCCACATATTGAATTACTCTGAGTGTCTTTGATTATTTGTTCTAATCTGCACATGCCGACACATATAAACAGTGAGTTATTTCAGCCTCGCCTCATGTGCATTAACAATGTCTTCTGGGAATCATCTGTTTATCATCTGATGTCTTGCAGGATGTGAAAATATTCCGAGCTCTGATCCTCGGAGAGCTGGAGAGGGGGCAGAACCAGTACCAGGCACTGTGTTTCATCTCACGCCTCAACCGCAATGAGATCATCCCCAGCGAGTCCATGGCGCGTCTCAGACAGGTACTGCACAGGCCACAGCTAAGCAGCAGTAATGTCTATTTTTTATATAAGCATGTTGCAATCTTGAACCTTCTTTTCTCCTCTTGGTGTAGAAAAACCCTCAGGCCATTCGCCTGGCAGAAGAGCGGAGAGGACTGGAGCAGCTGACAATGAGCGCAGCAGTCAATCTAACTCAGGCCTGGCAGCTCAGCTCGCACATCCACAACATGTGCAGCGAGGCACGGGAGGCTATCTACACCAGAGAGGCTGATGTTAAACACTGGCTGGACAAAGGTCAGAGGTCACCTTATCTTTGTTTATCATGAGGACTATCATAACTTCTGCTGTTGTTTTGATCATGATGTCTACCCACTCCTCTACCCTCCTTCTCTCTGACACTTCCTATCTCTATCTCCCCTGTTTCTCTCACTTCAAGAACTTTTACTGCTTTATCATAGTGATATCACTCATGTTTTATCTTTGACTTATTGGACCTCTGTTTGGTTGGTGGAAAATAAGGGGATATCACCAGTGAAAGTTATCCTCCATCACTTCTACCAAAAAAACTTTTACTGTAAAAAGCCAACAGACTTCAAGAGGTCAATATTTCAACTTTAAGATAGTCCGCACATGCACGGTTAGATCTGCCGTTATCAACAATCTTGGCAGGGAATCAGCATGAAATTTGTCTTTCATGTGATCACAAACTTTTATAATTAGTAAATTTAGTTTTTTTTTTTATCACAAATTGTGAGATTACAGTCAATCAGGCTGTTTGAATCACAAAGCATGTACTTTCACCTCCGTTGTCACATGCTCATTTGGAAGTTTACCTCTGCTAAAAACCTTTGTATTGTTATTGCTGGTGAGATCATTTAATTCCTTTTAACATCTGAGATCTGAGCAGAGGTCTAACTCACCACTGGGCTTGTTCCTACGGAGGTTTCAAGTGTTGGCATTCAAGAATATTTCAAAACTATTAAATGGGCGCGGTTCTCTTAAATTTTGGAGATTATGATTGCACAACCCTCACTCTTGGACGTACACCTGGATTGAGAACATATAACTTTAAATGAACTGTAGGCCCTTTTAAAGTTGGATTAAGTATGTACGTAGCAATGAAGTCCACATTACTGCAGCTGAGGAGAATCCTTATGACAGCAGTATTGTCCACTGACAGCACTGTTGTGGAGGAAACAATGTTGATGGTCATGCTTCACCAAGCACTCCGTACCATTATCAGCGGATGGAATCACAGTAGCATCTCCTTTGCATAACAAAGCTGCCCTTTTTACCGCACCATCTCCTCTCTTTGGAGCCACTCTGTTCCCCCTCTCCAGTTCAATTCAGACTCTAATTGAGTGAAATCACACAGAGAATGATAGCTGTCCTTTGTTTTTAACCCTCTGCTAATAATGCACCCTCTCATGTCTGTGTCACAGGAGTGGATGGCTCCATATTTGAGGTCCTGCCCCAAACGACAGAGGTTCCCAGCTTTCAGGCCTGTCACTCTACTAAAGACTTGTGGCAGCCGTGTCTCTGCACATACAGTTTGCGTCTGGAGTGGTACCCGTGTCTACTGAAATACTGCCGCAGCCGGGATACCACAGGAAGAGGCTCGAACTACAAGTGTGGCATAAAAAGCTGCAGCAAAGGCTACCATTTCACTTACTACGTTCCCCAAAAACAGCTCTGTCTATGGGACGAGGAGACCTAACATTTGACTAAAAAGGAGAAAAACTGTTTTCCTCTTTCAGCCAAGCCAGTGTCTCCCCACCCAAGCAATTCAAAGACAGCTCAGTAACATTGGACCAGAGTTTATATGATGCTCAGTGAAGCAGGTGGGGAGTTAAGGCAAGCAGATGTTTAAGCTGAAGCAGAAAAAACATTCAGGTTCAAAATGAGACCAAATCCTTAAGGAGGGTGAGACACAGCTCACCGTTCAAAGACTATTCACTGACTTTATGTGACTTTAACAAGAAGCTGTCACTCCTGTGCCTTTGTTACCCTGAGCAATTATTAGAGCAGATGATAACAACAAAAACCTCTCAAACAAGCTGCGATGTACACCAAGCTGGACACTGCATTTCTGGGCTGAAAAACACCAGCAGGGGAACATCAAGAGTCTGCTTCTGATCAGAAGAGCTGTACAAACATGATCTTTCATTCTGGTGAAGGATGATATGAACAGTTGATTTTCTCTTTTTTCATATCTCTGAGATGAACTGTTAAGAGCTGGCTTAATACCACGTTTGTTCTACTATATAAGCTGGCCAACAACAAAATTCCTCTCCAATGCGGGCTTTATTTATTGAGTTGCAAATTGAAATTATGGAGGAGTATTTTTATATTTTTGTGACATATGACTCAGCCTATCTTTTTGAGTTAAACAAGCTCTTAAAGTCACACGACTTCACCACAGGTCCTCAGTAACAAGACAGTTTTTGATGTTGCTTTAAGGCTCATCGTAACTTCATGCTACTGCTCTGCCAAGTTTTCAATAGTGTACAGACAGTGTGCATAAGAAGTTGTACTATTTTGTGAAATTTGACAGTTTTTATTTCCCGACCAGTAACCATGGGGGGAATCTTATTGCTTACCAATCATGTCCACAGTCTGTTAAAAAGTTTCAAACCAAAGTCAGAGGAAATACTGTTAAAGAAGGGTGTACTGTCACTCAAAGTGTGTTGCAGCGCCGCCTTTTCAATAATCTCTACTGCCATCTGCTGGTTAAACAGTGTTCCTAATGCTCTGTATTAGCCAAAAGCCAATGCATTGGTTTTTGATTTTTATGTCAATAGCTAAGAGTTTATAATTTATACATTTTGTATCCCTGCCTGATCATGTTTTCATGCATAAGCGCTTCTTGAACTTGTGGGACCAAATTTCAGTTTGTGTGTATGTAATCTAAGTAACAGGTTGAAGTATAATTTTGGTCTATCTTACCTCCATCTTCATCTCAGTCTGGACTGCCATGTCAAATGTTCACTTTTTTTCTCTGTGTTTGTTTGTTTGTCCTGGTTACTAAAGAACCAAATGAGTGAAACTTTCTATTTGTGGCCTTTTCTGGTGATCAAGTGCCTTAACATTTCCACTGATGTATTTGCTTTGTAATTATAGGATAGGTTCTTTAAAATATTTTTTTCTATGAAAGAGTTCTGATTTTGTCGCAAAAGTTTTCCACAAGGAGAAATTGAAGCAATTAGGCGATGTACCTACAATTCAATAGTGCTGTTTTACAAACATTGTTTCAATAAAGTCTTTCTTTGCACTGCATCGATATTGTAAGCAACCATTCTTAGCTCTGCTTTTGGGAACATGTAAGATAATAAGCATTAGCAGGCTTACAGGAAGTAAAAAAAAAATCAAAAAAGGGAACTGTGTAGTGGTTATTGGTTATAACAAAAATCAGTGTGTTAGCTTGAAGTGTCTTGGCTGTAGGGAAATCTTTAATTTCTAGTTCAGTGCTTAACACCAATCCCTTAACCTGGGCCTTTTCGTGCAATATGGTTTCTTTGAACACTTGTATCAGTTCATACGGTGGCTGGGAACCGCCTCTACTGCAAATAAAAAAAGATTGCAAAAAAAGGAAGTCACAACGAAAGTTACTGATGCAAAGAAAAGAAACCGAAGCCTGCTGCAAATAAAAAACGAGACAGTGTAGAAAAAAAAAAGCCACAACGGAAGTTCCGATGCAAAAAAAAAAAAAAAAGTGATGGGAAAAAAAAGATTACTGCGAAAATAAAAGGATGCAAATAAAAAAAGCCACAACGAAAGTGATCTGCCAGGGACCAATAATGATGATGCACCAGTGTTTTACGATCCAGGCACAGAAGACGACAGCGAGAAGACAAGTAAAGAAGTTAGTGGAAAGGTTATTGTTGAATTTCGCTTCATGTGCTTTTCAAGGTGTCATTTGGTCAGGTCATGCAGCGCTTGAGTCGATATGAAGTTGAACTGAAGCTAACACTACACCAGCATCTTCCAGTTCAACTTTATATCAGCTCAGGCACAACATGGCCTGATCAAATGACACATCGAAAAGTACACAAAGCGAAATTAAACAATTACCGTTCCACTTACCTCTTTGCTCACTTCTGTTGTGGCTTTTTTTATTTGCATCCTTTTATTTTTGCAGTAAGTGACTTTTTTTCCTTTTTTTCTTTTTTTTGCATTGCCACATTTTTTGCATAATTAACTTCCATTGTGGCTGCTTTTCGTTTTTTTAAAATCTGCACCCCTTTATTTTTTATTTGCAGTGGGCTTCAGTTTCTTTCTTACTTTTTTTCAACAGTAACTTCCGTTGTGGTTTCTTTTTTTTTTTTTTACATTCTTTTTTATTTGCAGCAGTGGCGGTTCTTGGCCTCCGTAAGTTCATAATAATTTTCAGAGTTTTTGATCATAAAATGAAGATGGATTTACTTTGGACATAAACAGCCTGTATGTAATACCATCTATTGACCACGGGGTGTCGCTGATGTCCAAACTGTTGAAGCGAACGGCCGTCATTCTGAGTGGGTGTCAAGAGGATTGGAGATATGCATATTGTTTAATTTTTTATCAGCTTGTCGTAATTTTTAAACTTTATTATAGTGAGGAGAAACACTTTCAGTTTATAAATCCACATGTGTCGTTAATGTAAGTAAATAACGGTAAAGGGATGCTGAAGACAGCTGTTATCACCAGGGGAGCTCACGTTCAGGACAACAAATAGCAGTCTGTCTACAAGCGAGCCTTTTGTGAGCTCCACAAGACACGAATCTTCGCTCACCACCAAAAACGGGATGTAAATGAAGAGAGATCCTCATGTGCTGCATTAAGGTAACGCTAATTTTATTCTTCTGCTATAAAAGGCGCATTAGCTTTGCAAAAGCTTTGTTAGCCCTTTAACGTCAGCTAGCTACTAGTGGCTAACTGAGTGTTTGGCTAGTATGATAGCATCGTACTAAACAAGAGATAAACTCTAGACCCCTTCATACACAGGAGTTCTTTAGGTTACTCTGGGTTAGCTGGGAAAAGGGCAATAAAACGAAGAGAAATCCAGCCATTATCTAGATGTTTTGTCTGATATTGCTGTCGCCTACACGTTTCCATGGAAACTTTTTAATAAAGTGTAATGGACACACTTGTCTCTAAACTATAGGTCCAAATTACACACAGCATCCTCACATATAAGTCAACCTTAAGTCATTTAAAAGAGAGATGGAAACAACTACTCTTTAAATAGATAAAGATATGAGTGGATGGAGGTGAAACTGGATGATATAACACAAATGCATCACAAAAAGTTTACACAAAACCATCTCCATGTTTTAACTAATCTTTACAATCTGGCAACCAATTCAGTTTCCAGGCACCAATGTAAAATGTATGTGAAAATGTATCCCTACATAATTGTCAAGGTGCCTTGTGTTTATTTTGTATTATGGTATTTGAATATGTGGTTTGTTTACACTCAAGTCCAGTTTTCCAGGTTTTCTTTGACCTTACAGTTTCAGATTACATGCTGGATCAGTCTTGAATTGAGTTCTCCCACTGTGCATTACTATACCTGTGCTAAATATCCTTCTGCCACCCGGACTTTGATGTGTACATACAACTGTTTATTTTTTGGCTCCTAAAAAACAAAGACAACAATCACAATGAGAACCACTTGCATAACCTGTTCTTCTTCTTGACAGCTGTCCAAGGCCCAGCTCCCAGTAACCTTTTATTTAGTTAAGAAACTTGCTTATAGTCTTTGAGACATCTTGTTCCAGTCCCGGGAGGGTGGGGCTGGAGGCAAGGTCTCACCTCCTAGCACAAACGTCACACCAGAAGAAGAGACGTCCCCCTCACCCCACCAGACCCTCAGCAGGCCAACTGTAGTGCTATTATAGTTCAAGCAAAGGCTAATTGTTGTTCACTTACAAAGGATCGCACAGTCTAATTCTTTGGACGGTTATGCTGTATCTATTACTGTAAGCGATATTACAGAGCAAGATGTCCCTCTATGCATTTTTTTATCTTGGTGAATTGTGAGTCAGAGTTGGCTTGATGACTGCTATCTGGGAAGTTTTTGAAAGAAACTGTGAAGTGGTTTCAGCTTTTTGTCTCAACTCTTTTTGTCTGCAGAGAAGAAGATGACACTGCTGGTGGTTTTTGCGCTCTTTTCCCTGTGCTGCTGGGGCTCTTTCTACTTCATCTTGTGTATTTTTAACGGGAGCAGAAGCTATGAGTGGAACTGTCGCCTGGTCACACTGGTGCATGGCATCCTGGCATGCTGCATCACATCATACATAGGCTATGTTGACGGACCCTGGCCTTTCACCCATCCAGGTAGGCGGTTACCAGTGCATACTACTTCGTCTTATATAAATACTTTTAAGTAAAATTGTTAAGTGCTGCAGCCAACAAGTATTTGCTTATTTTGCTTATCAAATTATTTATACAGAAAGTCATTTTTAGTATAATTAATGTTTATTATGGTCTATATTTAAGCTTCACATTGTCTATAAGCTCTACATCGCATTGACAAAAATATTGACTGATCCCCGTTGACAGCAAACTGTCAGCAGGGATCAGTGTCTTGCTGTGTGTGAATAAGCCCACAACTCTGTAATGAATAAATTTATGGTCACGATATTCGCTCGCTTTATTATGTGATTTTTCAAAAAATGTTCTTTGCTTGTCTTGTTGCAAAATAAATATTTCAATTAATCTGTTATGCTTTTCTGTCTTTGGATGCTAGGTACCAAGAACACTCCCCTGCAAATGGGTGCCCTGCTGGTGAGCCTAGGCTACTTTTTTTTTGATATGGCTTGGTGCATCTACTTCCGCACAGAGGGGCCAGTTATGCTGGCCCACCACACCATGAGCATCCTGGGAATCCTTCTGACCCTGTGGCTGGGGGAGTCCGGCATTGAAGGCTGCGCTGTACTCTTTGGCAGCGAAATCACCAACCCCCTGCTGCAAACACGCTGGTTCCTCAAACAGACGGGACATTACAGGACAGTGCTAGGAGACGTTGTGGACATCTCCTTCGTGTCGCTGTTTGTGTTGATGCGAATCTTTGTGGGAGGCACAATGCTGTACTGTGAGCTGATCTCCCCTAGACCAAGATTCTTTATCAAGTGTGGGGGCGTGGCTATGTACGCTCTGTCCTGGGTGTTCATGGTGGACATTGTTCGATTTGCAGTTCGGAAGAGCAAAAGCTGGCACAAAGAGCAGAAGGACCAGCGAGAGACAGTGGCAGCTAATGGTTATGAATTAAAGAAGGACTGATAGTTTTGTGTTACTTTGAAGTAAACTGATTTATATTTAGTTTGAGCTTTTCAATTTGGACACTTTAGGGATAATACAAAAAATACATTTTTTTATCTCTAAGTTCAACTAAAATCAGAAAGGGATGTTTAATGGTAATGGTTGTGTATGTAAAGAAATCATCTGTGACCTCTGTCTGTGTATTTTTAACACTAATTTTATAGCCATTAATGCAGATGATCACATGATAGATTTATGTGTTAAATGTGCAAAAATTAACACAATAGAACATTGAAGTTAATGTCACTGGAAGCCAAAGCACTTTCTATAAACATGTGGACAAGTGTTACTTAAGTAACAGTGACCTCTAGCCTACTTTTTAATGTGTTGCTAAAAGGGAAAGTCAAGTGTAAGTAGAGGGACAGTTTACATGTAACACCCATGGTGCTTGTGAAACACTTCTGGTCATATCACAAAGGATTGTGTTGATGAGATTCTTAAACTTTGAGCAGATGTGAAAGGTGTTCTCAGGGAGATGAAGTCATACCAGAAAGATTAAGTGAGATTCAGAAATATGTGTGAGATTTGTTGGATTTATTGATTAATAGTAAGCCTTTTTAGTGTTTAACTGCTGTTTAAATATTTATTTTAAGACAAAGCATAATTTCTACTCCACCTAAGAAAGGAATCTGTCATAGAGGTAGATCTACACTGGAAAGACTGTTTTTCACAGCCTGCTTGGAATATTTAAGAAAGAAGAGCCTTAACACAAATGAGAAAGGTCCAAACATCTCGGGCTGAGTAATAGTTAAATAAAATTATATCTACATAGAGTTTATTTATTTATTGGAAATTTCTTTTCACTAGTTTCAATTTTTTTGGATTACATGTTTAATGCCCTCATTTCATTTCAGTGTTTGTAATATTTTAATGACATTTGCCAATTTTTTGCTCATGATAGGGAAATTTCATAAAAATATTGTGATATTTCAACCATGGTCCAAAAAGAACACACTATTCAGTATATATTAAATAAAGGGGAGGATGACTCGTAATGGAGGGCTTGTACAAAGACTCAGCTGACTCCATGACTGGATTAGCTATGTCAAGAAACACCCAACTACCAGCTTTCATCTTTGTGTTCAGGTTTTATATTGGTGTTCATATTATGAACACGTTTTGTGAATATGTTGTTTTATTGAATACAGATACCTGCAGTCAGAACACTATCATCCCCCTTTTTGCTACTAAACATTATACTGAAGGTTGATGTGCTGCTCTGATATAAAGGTCTGTTTACTTGCACAACTATTATGTCCAAGAAAGTAAAAACTCTAACTGGTGTGTGCCTTGGTTTTTTGAATGTACTTTGCTAAGATTTTCTTTGTTTTCTTGTCTTGTGCTGTACTGTAACCCATAAACATCCATGTAGAATTAATGAAGAGCCCCTTCCAGTCTGGGTTGCTTTTGTAATGTCTGTGTGAAGAGAATTAAAGATGTGATTGGTTATTTTTATGCAAATGAACTATTTTTTGGACAACATATCAACTTAATGTCTAAATGTAAAATCAACCCCAGGATGGGCTGTGTTTTTGTCATGCATTGCTATGACACAGAAACAGATGTTCACTGCGAATGCACTGCGGCTGCAGCTACCTACTCTGTCCACATGATGGTGTTGTGTCACTTGTAAATGAACGACTAGAGACGAAACAGTAGTTTGGGAAAGCTGCTATACTGACACCAGAGCCACAATGGAAAAAAATACCTGCAAAAGCTGCAAGTTTAACTTATGGATGAACCTGAAGGATAAATTAAAATTAGAATATGTTGTTTTGTATAACATTAAAGGAAGTCCATTGTGTACAGTATGCACTGTATGGTAGTGTAGTACAATATTTTGGGATTTTCTACAAGTACATGTGTAAATTTTGTGTGGGTACAAAAGCAACAGCTACTTACTTTTACAAAGTTTTGACAAACTCAAATAAACTGTGCCAAGAATAAAGTACAAGAAAAAATCTATTTGTCTCACACCACTTTCTATAGCTTAGTTTGTTATATTGTGATCTTCTGTGCATCTTCTTCTCTGAGTTTGTCTGACATACAAAACAGTGTACGCTACTTGAAAAGTAAACACTCTGAGGACTTTTAAAGGAATCAATAAATATTGACTGCACTGATTGAGCTGAATATTGATCTTAGTCTCAAGATGTTTGTTGAAAATTGTCAGACTTATCAACTACAAAGACATGGATGAAAACACACAGGTAAGCCTAACCCTAAGTATATATTTTTTTCATCTTATTACTCAAACTATGTGACTCTCCTCTATTCCTCCAGCTTATGTCTTTTGGACATTTTCTCCGGATGGGATCTGTAAGTTTCATAGGAGTGTACTCTTGTGGGTGACAGACATAGACTGAGCTGTAGTCTGTAAATAATAAACATAATGACTGCTCTCTCAGTCCCAGACCAACCACAGGCAGACAGACAGAGAACCATGAAAACCATGAAATAATCATACAACAGCACGCATAATTAAAGGTAACCAACCACCACAGGGAAAGTGCCTTTGTAGACATTTTGGATATTTATTTGATTATACCAAATTGTCGACATGTATTACTGTAGTAGTAAAATACTGTAGTATTTTTTTCCTTTTATATTATTGATTAACGTTTGTAACGTTTCTCAGTTACATCCGTCAAAGTCTGTTAATCGTTTATACTTGACATACAACCAAAACTCATTCTCCCAAAAGAAGATTTAAAAGGGATACTTCTGCATACATATGTCACCAGTATCAGAGGCAATATTTCCACGGTTTCTTCTCAGTATTTTATTGTTTTCATTCTCAGCACTGTTGCCCAGCATTACACTGAAACAAAATGAGTTTTCCCATCTCCCGGCGGAAGTGGTTAGTTGAAGCGCTAGTGGACTCCAACAGCTAGCTGGCTAGGGCGTTGCTAGCGGCAGAAAGTGGGATTTTTGTTACCTCTCAGCAACTTATATTCTTGTACAAATAACGTCTCGCGGCGGAAAAAAACGGCGTTAGATGTTCCCTTCAAGTTTTAAAGCGTCTGGTGTTTTTTATCGTTGTTTACAGAGACCTGGTGTTACTTTCTGTCCCGTTAGCTGGCCGCATAGCTAGCCTGCTCGCATCCACGGGAATTCTGCCGAGAAACGACTGAAATCTGGAAACATGGAGTCAGGGATCGCAGCGCTCAGCTAACCGACTCCACTGGATTTTATTTCGTCAAGGAGACTTTTTGAGGGACACAATACGGGGAAACGTCGTCAAAGAGTCCACATTCATGCCGTGTTCTGTGTATATTTTTCGGTGGTCGGCCGGCTTGTTGTTGTGAATGGGAGTTTGCTTAGTTTGCACTCGAAACAAGAGCACACGAAGCAAAGTTTTTTGCTGAAAGAGCTCGTCTGTTTTGTTAGCTGGTAGCTCGCGAGATTCAACTGCCAGTCTGCCCTTGAAAAAAGGGTTTCTAAGAAAAAATACGTCCTCTTTTAATTGAGCATTTAGCCCGTTTGGTTAATGTATCTTTCGTCGGTTTAACATTAGCTGCAGTCGTGTTGCTTGTGTGTTACACGAGCCGTTTAAACTCGGAATTGAGCGATTCTCATGGTCACGGGAGAGTCGTCCCCACAGCCACAGACAGGCATTTCTGGGAGCAGGGAATACCAAATGGGACTGCAGGACTTTCCAGCATCTTCACAGATCATTTAGGATCCGAGGCCATTCAGCCGAGCTGGGGTGGTGGCAGACGGACTACATCGCTGGGCCAAGGTGTCTGTTACATTGGAATACAGATTGTTTACACATTTCACATCGGCGGAAAACTGGGATGTGAATGCACAGGATTCACCCAAGGAGTTCATACATGCACGACAATTTATGCCAGCTGGTGCCGTGTATTTATTCCTGTTGCCAAAATATTGTTCATTGCCGGGGTAGGATATCATCTGACTGCAGCTAATACGGCAGAGGCCCCGATTAATTTTTAAGGTCTGCACTGTAGACGGATTCCTTACTGCTGTTACATTTGACAACGAGTATTGGTGCACCCATAGTATTTAGGCTGTATTTTTGTCCCCTGCAGTGTTTGGACGTGCCAGCTGTGTCCTACAATTAATTTATTCTCTACCATACCAGTCACTAAATCCTCGCCTACTTCAGACGAATGCCAGAGAAGGACGCGCCACTAAATCGCCTCATCACACTCTGGAAAATGTTAATCGGATATAATTTGCTGCAAATCTAGATCCGGAAGCCCAATGAGTGACACACAGTCCAGCTTCACTGACAGGTACAGTATGCAACAACGTTTATTTTCTCTCCATGCACTGTCTGTACTGCTATTGTACACTATATTTTGTTGCTGTTTCTTGATTTTGTTTTGAGGACATGAATCTGAAACCCACTGTTTGATGAAAACATGTTTGACATGTTCCAGGCAAAGCACTTCTTTGTGGTGATGTGTTCACTAATAACTGGGTTATACAATCTAATTACTAAGGTAAGACATCAGATCTTTATGGAAACTGTGCTGATCTCAGCAAGGGTAATGGAGTCGTCCACAGACAGTAAAGTACTACTTGTCCATGAAGTGAGAAGGCCACTGCCACTGTCTGTATGTGTGCCAGGGACCAGCCGCCCAATGATCCCTGCACACCTTTCAACATCACCATTACCTCTAAGCCTTTAAAGCCAGCCTTCTCATACACCTATTAAAACAATCTCTGGATTTAGACGAAAACGTTTCTTTGTTGAGTAATCACCGTATCTGAGGCATCCTTTACCTTGAACTCAAAGGTTAAACACTGTTGCCAGCACCAGCCTGCTAAATAGTGTCATGGCCTGAAAATCAAGCTTAAAAGCGGAGAGGGATCAGTCTGTCCCATCCTAATCCACTGTTCTGTTATTGCATCATTATTAGCATGGATTCCTTTCAGTGTTGTTCCTGGAGAATAAAGAGGTTTCTATCCTCAGTTTGATGTACCTTGGCATTGTAACAGAGAAGTGAGGCTCCTGAGTTATGTCATGTGCCGTCCCACCTGAATCCCACATACCTGTAAGGAGAGCTGGCCAATACAGTGGAATGTTGTTGGTGGGTTTTTAGGCCAGAAGGAAGCTTTATTGCACATGTTGGGATCTGAGATATCCTCATGGGCTAGGGCATGAGCTAGAGGCTAAAGCCCAACCCCATTTTACACGAACCCCCTCCCCCACTGCAATGATGGCAATAGTGACTGGCACCAACTGCTATTGTGGTGCTCTTCATTTAGTGTCATTTCAAACAGTATTACCACAACACTTTGGGTGGCACCTGCATGGCAAGCGTACAAAGCCGTAACCTACCACTCACAAAGTATTATTGGCCTTAAACTACATTTGATGCCAAGAAGAACCTTAGATGCTGTTGACAAGTGTAATATGTCTTAGAATAATGTGAAATGTATTACTTCTCTGAGACCTGCTCCTGAAAAAAGAAGCTTTATGTATTGGTTTGCTTTTGTTTTTGAAGAAATACATGTAGAGTGAATTTGTTCTGATTTTATAAGTTCTACATCCTTTAAGTCAGAATAAGCATGATGCAGGCCATCTTATTAGTGCACAACAAAATGATATGCACCAGTTTTGAGACCAGGCAAGCAACTATCTCTGTGCTGTTTATCATCAGATTCGAGTTGGCCTGTTATTTTAATGATCAAGTTGACCACAGTGTTTATCGTTGTTTACTCCTGGTTGATTGTAAGTATTTAATTGGTTTACAGGTTGCTCTGAGTCACTTACTCCCTACTGTCTTTAGTCCGTCTACATCTCCCTGTCCCTGCTTTCTCTTCCTCTACTCTGTGTTGTGTTGTGCATTTTGTTTTCCTCTGTTGGCTGTTGCATCCCACATCTATTGGGGTTGGGCCACCACCAGCCGATGGGTCAGTTTAGTGTGCTGTTAGCTCTTTGTCATAGGGATCTGCTGATCTCCACGTTTTTTCCCACCCCCCCTCTCTGAGGCCCTCCCTGGAAGTGGTGCTGGTGACATCACTAATGGTAAACAATAGCTTTCAGTGGAAGCAAACTGGTTGCATGGTCCTGTGCAGGCCCATCAGTGTGGTTCAGGTGAATACTGGGAAGCAGGTTCGATTATGTCTGATGGGGATGCAGCGTCACATTATCGACTTGTGATGCAATCAACAAGTTTGACATTTGCTGACTTATTGTTGTAGAAAGACTGAATCATTAAATGACATTTTATTGAGCTAAATGGTCACTAAGGGTTTGTTAGATATTGAAATAGATGTCATTTGAAGTTATGTCAGTGGACTCAGTGATTTTTTTTAACACTAAATGATAATAGCAGTACTGGCGTTTGTTTTTCTGCCCTTGAATCAGTTCCCTCCTAATAGATGTTCTGACGAGTACTTCTGACAGCTGGCTCTCCTTGTATGCGTCTCCTGTATTTGGCATCTCTCTCTGATAATGCTGTAAGCTTCTTCTCCATCTAGTCAGCACTGATGCTGGGGGAGCTGTGTCAGCTGCTCTGAACTGTACATTATGAGTGATCAGAGGTGCACATGCCTCCAGCTCAGCATGCAGCACAGAATGGTTCTGTCTGTCTATACAGCGTATATGTCTCCCACAATTAAAAGTATAAGGGAGGTTTTGCAGACGATGAAGTCAAAACCAATCTTTTGACTTTATGGCGCTTAAAAAATCTAGTGAGTATAAACTGATTGGTTGATTGAAGGTTGACTGATCAAAAATAAAAAAGATAATTAAAGCAAACATTACATTTGCACTTCTGGAAATAATTATGATTATGTTGTTTACAAATCAGAGAGGTGATTTGAGAATAAATTACAGTCCTAGTTGCAGCCTCTAAATTCTCTGCATCAAGGTTCTTAATACTTTGTAATTCGGCCAACTTTACTCATACGGAAATATTGTGGTTTTCCCCCAGGCAGTGATGTTTCAAGACTGCAAAGGAGTTGCACTTTCTCTCCCAAAATTAAGTCGAGAGAAGAGACAAAACTCTCTGAATAATTTACAACCATACCTTGTGCTTTGTTATGATAGCTGTAGGCCTTTCTTTTCCACTGAAATCTTTGTCACAGCGTTTTTTAGGTCACAGCAAACTCTTGCCAGCCTTACGATCCCCAGGTTCTTGCAAGCCGATCAATGTCTGTAATTTTAAGGGTATTAGTGACCTGTGCTGTTTGCAATCGATGCATATGGTTGTTTGCAGATTTTGCAGTCTCATTTTTGAGGATCCTGGTTAAAGAACAGAGAAGAGAATAAATAGTTTAAACCCGAGGAACATGTTTTTTATCCATAAAATAAATGCCGATGTAAGCAGATCTTTTTAACTGTGTAGCGTCTTAGTGAAGTATGGTGGCGGTGTATGCTGAAACGTTAGAAAAGCAAGAACACCTGTGTCGTCTTATGCAACCAAACAGAACAGCTGTGCAATAAATCCTAGCATTTATAAGAAGTAGCATTTTAAGATTTGGTTCAGATTGTGTGCAAGAGGTCTGGATTCATTTCTGTGGTAGAGCTGGAGGTTGTGATTCATGATTGTCATGCAATGAACGGAAAACTGGTTCATTTTCAATTATAAAGCCAGATGATCTCTTGCAAGCAGATAGTTTTCAGTCATAAGTGTTAAGCTATTTATACTACATAAACGGTTGTGTAGCTTTCATACTGTTTGCACATCAGTAAAGAAGTAGTTTGATGGCAAACTGGATCACAACATTCATTAGTGGATATTTTGTGCCAGAAGTCCTCTGTTGAAGCTGGGTTAATGTCATGATAAAAATGAATGTGAGTCATTATTGTTAGTAACTTTGTTGGTCTATGGGTCTGGAGGACAGTAATAAAGGATTGCTAAGTTTATAGCAAGCAGCAAAGCACTGGGCTAGAGAAATGAAGCTGATGTGATAGTGTTGAAAAGAAGAAGCTCTGGAAATTGCACACACATTCAAAAAAGCCCTTCTTTACAGAAAAAAAAACATATTTTTAGCCTGGAAAAAGCTGTTCAGATTATCTCATTTCCCTTTCTTCACACAATGTGCAGGGGGGATTTTTTTAAACTCACTAGTTTCTCATCAGAGGTCTGTGATGGGATTTTCTCACCTCAGCCACACCTCTTGTCTTCCTGCAAGGTCAGTTATTAGGTAGAGTCAGCATTTCCAGTATGATGACCGCCATTGATAGGCTTCAAAACTGTATTTCAAAACCCATGGAACCAACATCACAGAGGCTACAACCATGTTTAATACTGCGTTTATAGTAACAATCGACCTTTCAGCCTTTGTAATATGAGCTGATTCCAGTTAATTTAAAGTAAAATAAGATAATCGTGATTGTCGACTATCATCATATTAAGCTGACTCCTTTTGGTGGGTTAATATAATTATAGGAGGTCCACTGTTTTTATTTAGATGATTTTAAAAAGTTTATTTGTTGCATTAGTTTGACTTAAAATAGACCATGGAAATACATGTAAACACACGGGTCTCACTGGAATTGCACCAAGTTGAAATTCTCATAGCTGGACGTACAGACCTAGATAACGTGGTTGGGTATTATTTCCTTGCATGTGGACATGTCAATTGGACTCAAACTACCTTCATGCCATGTACATCAGGTATCATTACACCTGCCACAGATACATTTAGACTGAAGTCACTACTTCAAGGAAAAATGCAGACTGTGATTGGTTAGCTTTTTCCTTCTGCATCAGTAGCCCCAAAAACTGTCTGATGTCCCTCCTAACACATTCACCACATCCTCTCACTCTTGTGAATTATGGTATCAAAGGCTAGCACTAATTAAATGACACACCGCCCTACTAGGTAATCATTTCCCTTGTGTCACCCTGCAGTAATCTTGCAGACAGTGATGCATTTAGCGCAGCGTTCTGCTACTATGTTTTGTTATTGATGACATGGTCACATTTTATGATAGCTGGCAGCCATATATTCTCCATGCTGAGAAAAAAAAAAAACCACAGTATTTTCCAAATATATTTCATGGCTGTGAAAAAAAGCAAGGCCCCTAAACTATCTTTTTCTTCAATTATTAGTTGAAAGGTCTGTTTGGAGGTTTTGATTTTCAGTGTTATTTAGTCACAGAATGTAAATAAGGACCAAAGAATGACTTTACTCACACCTGAATGTGACTTTGGCACGCACACACCAACTCTCACCAACCTCTGTTCGTTCTTGTCAGGTCCCATTTCACTCTTTCTCACACGCTCTCTAAATCACATCTATCTTTTATTCTAATCGTTGCCTCCATTAAGCCCTTTTCCCATCACTACCACTAGAGATGTTTAAATATCATTTACCCTTCCTGATTTAGATTTTAACTACTGCAGCTTTGGTTTGCCAATACGCTCTAGACACTAGAGTAGAGTAACAAGAAGACAAAGGTGAAGAAACACCAATGGTTGAATTATGGCTTGCAGGTTACACACCTGCACCACCAGGTAGATTGGAATCTCCCCTGTTGTCCAGTTTGCTTAGAGGTTTCTCCACCTTTTCTTTCAGTATCAAAAGTTGCCTTTTTCCTCTGTAAACCATGATTCGTGTGTCGGCAGTAAACAACAATCTGCAGTGCTGTCAGGATTCCTCATTATTTAGTTTTCGTCTCTTTTTGTCTCTATGAAGCCCACAGATCAAACAGCTGATCAGATCGCTGCAGGCAAAAGAACACTATGTATGTTGCGTTCACAAATTGTGCAAAAATGGATGGGTATTTTGATGGCAAAGTTAACTCAGAGGAGTGCTTTGGGTTTCTCAAAATGAACTAATTTACATGGTAGAGTTGATCCCATCTGCGGTGAACTGTTAGCTTATCTTGCCTGCCACATCTCTCTGCAGTTTCTCATCAAAGGGGCAGAGCTGACGGGCATCTATTGTGGCTGGTACACAATAGTGACATGTGACTCATACAACCCCACTTCAAAAATACCAGAATATCCCTTTAATTCCACCAACAAACACACTATTTTTGTTGGTTATATTCTTATAATATTCGGACCAATACCGGTACTAGAATTGGTCAAATTTAAACACCATTCACCACCAAAACATTGTGTTTGTAGAACTGTGCTTTCACCATATAGCCATACAGAGACACAATGGTTGTCCCATTCTGTTAAGTTTTTGTCTTTCATGTGTGATTTTTGATGGTTGATAATAATAGAGAAATCAAAATGGGCTAAGAGGGCATAAATGTACAGAAAGATGGAGGGGAAAGGAAATAGGCGATGCCCCAGGGGTGGAGACGTTGTAGAAGTAGGTGAAGTCTGGGGCTGTGGCTGTGGCAGGGGCACTGACTAAGTGAAGGGGGAGTTGGGGGTTTTTTCACCCAGCCCTGTGATGCTGATGCTTGTGGACATCCTCTTCAATCCTGCCTGGTTAGTCTGAAGAGCTTTAGGGCTCAAACATTACTTTCACTCCACAAAAGACTGGATCACTACAATGGAGGAAAAAGGGGACAAGGCTGAGACAGAGAGAGAGAGAAAAAGAGAGAGGGAGAGAGAGCTGTCTTGCCCCAGTGTCGTGTCCCCACATGTCCATGTAAGGGTTTTGTTGCAATGAACCAGGCTAGTGCCTTCAAGCTAAGTGTGGCACTTGAGGGGTGATGATATCCTGCAGACTGTACTCTGAAAAATAGATCGGATGCTGGTGATCTATCTTGTATTTGTATCTAAGTGCACACATATATCTACTTAGTGTTGTCTAACACACAAGGAAATAAATAGCCGGTGTTTAAAAAGAAGCATCTCTGCTGTCGGTGATTGGATGGGATTTATGTAGCATGTTGAGCCTCCTCCTTTCCTGGGGTCCCAGGATGGGGAGGCCTTAATTGAATACCGTCTCTGTGTGTTTTGTAGAGAGAGACCAGCAACCTGCCGCTGCACCATGATTTATCTCACATTGCCTCTTTCTGCTGATTCAGGGGCCACTAGACACTAAAACACCCCTCCACTTCCTCGACAGGAACAGAGATTCTGTCACCAACCTGCAGACATGCTGACTTCGAATCCCTCTGACTGCAGAAAGCGAGGAGATGAAAAAAGAGGAAAAAAATGAGGCAGAGAGAGTGCAGGCAAGGGTAAATGTCCTCATGTTTTCCCTCAGTGATGAATCACTCAGTAATATTTTAAGTGTCATCCTGCATTCAACAAGCTAGATTTATTTTAAGAGGGGTAAGTGAAACAGATGGAACATTTTATAGCATTGGAGAAGATGAGGTAGCAGCAATGTGCTTTTGCTACAAGTTGCATCAGCTTTATTATTACCACCATAGGTCTGCTTCTTAAAGCCTTTAATTCATCTCTGAGGCTTGAACAGGATCCTTAATCATACACACAGCCTGTCTAGGGGTTGATGTGTCCCTTGTAGACCTTTCTACATGCCCTTTACTTAGAGTTAAAAGTTAAATTCACTACATTCTCTCAGTCCGAAGAAGTTCTTGCGGACATTGTGTTTCAGGGCTCATGACTAGCAGCAGCAGTGTGGACAGTGTAGCACGTGGAACCACCTCTTTTCCTTTCCCAGCCCTGGAGGACAGCAGACAGCATAGCGTGAAGAAATGTCTATCCCCCGGCCCTCATGTCAGGAATCCTGATGAGGTTTATTGGGGCAGAAAGGGCACTGTTTTCCCCCTGAGGCTGTAGCTTGAGCTCCAGAGCTATTGCTCTTGTCTCCCTTAACACACACCACACCTCTCTCTCTCTCTCTCTCTCTCTCTCTCTCTCTCTCGCTCTCTCTCTCTCTCTTTCTTTCTGTCTGTCTCACTTAATGTTCTCTTTCTTTAAATCCACACCTCACTACACACATCGGAACATGGCCACAGTGCTGAGGTCACAAGTGGAAACACCTGACATCAGTGTGTTTGATATTCGACTAGGTTCTAAAGCAGAAGGTGGTTTATAGGAGGAGGACCACCGCATGGGTGTCGACTACTCCTTTTTCAGTGGCAGGGAGTGGAAAGCTGTGACGTCACGCCGGCTGTGTTTTTGTGTGTGTGCAGTGTGCGTCCGCAATATGTGACTCCGGTACATAGATTAGACAACAAGCAGCGTGTGTGTTCTCCTTCCTATTGGCAGGCTGCGAGCATGAATCAGGCTTTTCAAGAGACTGTATCATTACCCCATTCAGATAGAATCCCAGAACAGTTTTTAGAGACGGGAATGAATGGCTGGCGGAGAAGCCAAGACAAGAGGAGACTCTGCCAGTTCCATAGGGTTCTTCTAAGCAGACTGGTGGCATGACTCAGCACAAAACCCAGCTGACGACAGCCACAGCCGCCGCCAATGCCACAGAGTTTCACTTCAGCTCTGCCACGTTTTTCCAGATTGATCCAACATTGGAGGATGTTTGTGCAACATGCGAGGTTCACCTCCTGGAATGAAAAACACCTCAGTCAGATCTGTGCAGCCTGAAGGCACCTCCCAAAACTCTCCAATCCTGTCCTAGTTTCAGACAAGCCCCACCTCTCTCAGTCCCGACAGCACCTGAGTTGCTTTGCTACAAATAGGAGATTTCACATTATCACTGCATGTCTGTATGGTTACAACAGCAGAATTTTTGACAGGAAAAACACAGCCTAAAGCTAACAATTTAGCAGGCATCCACCCAGTGCATTATAGGTAGTACTTTTTCTCTTGGTCAGTTTGAATAGTCTGTTTTGAGTTGCCTGTTTTAAAAAGTGGAATTACTGTATCTGCTTTTACAGACTCAAAGAGGAACCAAGAATAACTTGAAGTGCTTCCTGTGAATCTTGCACGAGTTGGTCCAGTTCCTTATTGTTCGCTGTTTTCCTTCCTCTTCAGTTTGGGAGATCCTTTCACAGACATGGCTGTGTGTGTCAGAGTCCTGCTCCCTCAGGGCTGTTCGTCCCTCCCTCCTTCACTGCTTTTTCTCTATCCACGCTCTGGTCTACTCTGGTCCCGGCCTCTCCCGTCTTGCTGCCACTGCTGCTGCAGTTGGCCCAGCTCTGCCACAGTTTTCCATCAAAACACCAAACCTCAATGGAGCATTCAAGCCCAGGCCCGCTCCAGAGCTGCCCCTCCCTCCCATCCCACCCTGCTATGACTCTGCCTTCTCTCTCTCTCTCTTTTTCACTGCCTGTGAATTTAACGGCCCCATCCAGGAAGAGGTCCGCGCTCAGACTTGGAGACTTTTATAGCTTGGATCTAAAGAATTGAATGAGCTGTGGGAAATTGATTTTTAAATGCTTAAATATTTTTCTCTAAAACTTAAGTTAAAGAAGAACTTAATCCACACTGGTGGAGGCCTCAGTTGTTAGTATTCCACTATGAAAAAGTTTTTCCAAGTTTTACCGAGTAAAACAGAGGAGCAAATCTTCTGTAGGCTGTTTAGTGATTGAGTTTGGTTCATTACCATGGCTTTAAAAGCTATTTTACAGGGTTTCATTTTCTGTTAGGCCCAGCTTGACTCATACATCTTTTTTCCACGGCTGCAACTCATGACAAGCTCTACAATTGATGAATTTGCTGATTATTTTTGATAAATTTTGTGCGAAAAATGTCTGAAAATAGTATGAACAAAAAGTGTAAACCTACCTTTCTAAACTATTTTTTTGCAGACTGATTTTCTTAAACCATAAATTTAGGTTTGCTCTCATTGGAGGCGTTACAATTTCCTATATTTCACAACTAAAATAATTTTTTGCAGCATTTTTGGTAGTTCTTTTGTGTTATGTTGCTACTTGATCATTTTTGCTTAAATGTTTTCGTATTGGTAAAAAAGTCATTAATTGTTCAGATAACAGAGTGTATAGAAGAGTATTTAAAGTATCATTAGGACATAGAACAATAAACTACTGTTGTCTACTGGATGGAGAGTCTACTGCCTATGTGGAGCCATTGTCATCGTTCAACAGAGAAATACTATTAACCTATGTGAGCTGCGACTGTGTGTGTCAGTGAAACTGTTCTCAGTAAAACAGAAGAGAAATGTTGCCCTGGTTGTGAATTCCTTCTACATGATCTGTCACCATTGCAGTAACCGGGATCATTACTTCAATATTCTGGGTTTGCTGCAGTGAGCATGGTGTTTCAAAACTTTTTGCATCAACAGTATTTCACTCCACGGTGGCATCTTTAACTATGTAGTATTTCTGCCATTGGGGCATGTATGACTTATTACAGTGACAAGTCTGAGCTAAGGAAAATTGAAGCCTGTTAAACCAAATACCCCGAACTCCACTCCCCTCCCTGCATAACTATAACAGTCACTGGTTTTGGACAGTAAATGGGAGGTTAGGGTTAATCATGGTGTTCCAAGTATGTACTTTTCAAAAACCCTAAGCTGAATGCATAAGGCTTGCAAGTGGCATATTAGTATGAGACCCATGGATCTTTAACCACCTTATTTTATACTTTAGGTAGCTGATTTAACAAAACTTCCTTAATTTTGAAAGCAAACTTGATTTAGATTTAGCATGTTTTGGGCTTGTTCCAACCCTGTCTGGGGCCTTGCATGCTCTCCCTGGTATACGTGGGTTCCTTGTGGGTACTTCAGTTCCTTCCACAGTCTTAAACACACTTGATAGGTCAGTTGGTCAGCCTTACTTGCCTGTAGGTGTGAGAATGTGTGAGTCTGGTTGTCTGTTTACATCAGGACTAAGATGACACTAAATGGTTTAAGCAGGTGGATGTCTTAAATAAGCCTTGTTACTGTCGGCTCTTCGTGGTGGTCAGCATAGTTGTTTAGAAAGAGAGCCATTAGATGCAACTTGAGTGATAATTATGACACAGCAGAGTGAGTTTGTTTTCATGAGCTCCTTCACTTGTATTACTTAAATCAGCCCTGATGACTACATCTGTCATTTAATGGGAGTCTAGTAGGTGTTGAGTTTGTGGTATTTTTCAGTACTCGCACAGAATAATGTGTTTTACTGTAAGACGGCTCTGGTTCAAAATTGAAAGTAATTGTCTTTTGTTCTCTCAGAGTCAAGTTTATAAGCTCATGTGCAAATGATATCAGCTCTTTGGAGTTCAGTTCACTGTCATTAATTGATTTTGATACAGCTGTAAAAGCGAACAAACTCACAGTCTGAGTCTGAGATATGGCTTCTATTCAAAGCCTGCAGTTGCAGTTTCTTCCTCAGCCGTTCCCTTCACTTGTCTCCCTTTCACTTCTGCCGTGTCTGTAGCTGAGCTGCGATGCCGATGGGTCGTAGTTTTGCACTGTTTCCTGATTCTTTTTGTCACACCTAATCAAGCCTATTTAGCGTGGGAATCAATGTGACAGCTCTGCACTGTTCACCCAAGCAGAAAAATGTCCCTAGAGAGAAAGCTAATGTTTTAATTAATGTGGACCTGCCTACGTTGTAGAGTCAATGTTAAAATTATCACAGACCTCAGCTGTGGTGATTCAGATGCTTTCCTGTCAGGCTGTAATGTAGGATTTGAATGTGTGTGTGAGTGTTGAAATCCACAGCATATTACACAAAGGTTTTTTTATGTACTTCTATAAGTATCTTGAATAATTCATCATTACCTGCATTCAGCTGAGTATTAGTCACCCCTTTTGTCTGAACTGGTTTGAATATTTGGAGTTTGTTTTTTACGTGATTGTATGGTGCTGTGTTGCATGCCTTGACTTTGTCTCTCTTATTTATGTCCATGCTTTGATTTTTCTCCACCCCGCTGCGATTCAGGCAGCTTATTTCCTGGCTGCATAATGACAGGGTATAAATTCTTCATTTTATAATTGAATATCAGAATTCATGTTCTCTTTCCTTTAGACTAATTTGTTGTTTACAAAACCGTTTTACAACACAGAGCTGATGTCCAATGTAGTTTCTGATGGATGACTCATAGCTCTAGGTGAGGATTATGGACAGCCTGCATCGTCATCCAGCCCTCAGAACTTGATTTGCTTGTCATGTTCATTTGTTCCTGTACGAAAAAACCAAGAACAACATCTGCCCACTCAGTTTTGCCATCTCTGAGCATGTGTTTCGTATACATGTCCCAGCTCAGCGCGTGTGTTTATGTGCGGACTTTTCCATCTCTCCAATTCAGAGGTTTCATAGGGAGTGGGCTACTTAAAGCTAGGGTTTTTTTTTTCCTGCTGGAAGCTCTGGAACTTATTACAGTCTGAGGCATTTTCATAAACGAGCCATTCAGCTGCCCCTGCATGGCTCTGAATGGGACACACTGTCGCCAGGAGAAAGAGAGTTAATGTGGGCTAGTTAGTCGCAAGACCTCCCTATTACAGAAGACTGGTGTTTGGAAATGAGTAGTTATTTGTTCTTCTGTTTTGTATCTCACTGTGAGCATTTAAGTTCTTTTAAATACCAGTGACACTTGGAGTTGAATCCTGTTGTTCGTATATGCATTAAAGAAAGTATACTGTGTCTTGAATTGAGCTGTAATCCCCCCTTGCAGAGGAATAACAACTCGACAATGGCAGAATTCCTAAATAAGAAAAAAAGTGTCTTTCTTGATCATTTTTATTCCATCGCAGTATAAAGATAATATAGATAAGGGCTGGGCGATAAACTGAAAATTCACTGATACTGAAATTTACGACAATAACCGACGTCATTTTGCCCATGTCAATATATTCGGTGACAAAAGAATAAATAAAAGTTGGTTTTGGATGTGTGTAGGTAGGCTATGTACGCTGTCCTACGTCGGAGATGTGACTCCACCTCATCTAGTCCGTAACAAAGAGAAAAGACAGATGAGGAGATGGAGGACGGTTCAAAAGTTGTAGCGGCTGAAGTAGACTAAATGAATGTGGGAGGGGGTGAGCAGCTTGTGGAGTAGTTATCGTCCATTTATTGTTATTGATGTGAACTGCTCAATATATCATGATATTGATTTGAGGCCATATCGTCCAGCCCTATTAGAGTCAAACTGAAAAGTACAAGACTCCTGTGAAAGTGTTTTTTTTTTTTTCTTTTGCATGGTCAGGAATGGCGAAACATCGCTGTCTGCTGAGCTCTACTTTGCGTGCCAACCCCACCAGGAATAGTGTGGAGCTGGAGGTCGATAATTAGCAAAGACTTCATGAGTGTTTTAGAGATTGCCTTTTCATTTTTAAATGCATTTTAAGATGAGAGCTCTGTGATTAATATTACCTTCGTAACAGCTTTAAATTGCTTCTCTTTAGGTCCCCCCGATGAATCTTAAACATGGAGCAGAGTTATGCCCTCTCAAAGAGTGGCTCTGTCTCTATGTGTCAGTTATGAAGCACTGGAGCTAAAAGTGATTGTTTCAAGAGTTTCAAGTCTAGCCGGGTCATGATTTGTGAGAATCTCCCTCCTACAGATGCCAATTTGCACTCTTTACTCTTAAGTACTGTGTCAAAATCCGGAGAGAGGCTGTCAGTCTCAAATGGAGAAGAGTGGTTAACTTTGAGCTAGCTCATATGATTATATCCTAGAGATGATGTGATACTCCCACTGTGGGATTCAAAAGTGCAGGTTCCTTTAATCTCTTCTTTAAAAATTTCACTTCCTTAAAATCATAATCTTTTTTAAAGTGGTGCTGACTGTGTCCAAAAATGATTTCATCACTCTATCCCTCCGTGGCAGTAATCAGTCTCAAGGAGGGCCGTCTGGAAGGGAAACAGGCCATGAATGTGATTCGGATATGATTGTTACAGCTAAAGTCGTGGTGACTGTGTGGATGTAGATTGCAGCGCACACACACACATTCAGACAGACACACACACAAACACAGCTGAGATCTGAGAGGACATTTGACCTGGAAAATGCTTTAATCTGCAGCTGAAGAACTCTGATGTTAGATGAGGATTAACATGTTTATCACTGTACGGGTCTCGGCAGAAGCCTCGGATTGGTCTTGTTTTTCAGGCTTCATACCGGCAAAAACAGATCAACCTCTATTTACTTCAACACAATCTGTCAAATCCTTTCTTTAAGATACTGACAACCCCTTTGTTTTTCTTTTCATCCAGGTTTCCCAAGAAAGCAAACAGGTAAGAATCACTCTATTTTTCTTCTTAATTTATTGCAACAACATCTGTATGCGGAGGTAGATAATCTTGTGACCACACACACATACACACCAGTTGTTTACATACACTGAGCTCCAGATGAGGAAGGTTTTACTTGGCCTGGTGTGCTGCAACACAGTAGACTTCAGAGTTTGGACCAAACATGCCCCCCTCCCCTCCCTTTCACTCATACACACTCTCACACTCACACATACACACAGCATTAGGGGACAAAGGGGTCCCTCTTCTGAGGGCGGCCCATCACTGCCTTTCACTGTGTACAGAACAGTGGCCTTTCACAGTTGGGGCTGGTATAGGCAGAGGCAGCCATACATAGCCTCCCAGGGTTCAAGCCGGAGTCTGGCCTTGTAGCACCTCCTCTGAGGAGCGTCCTTTCTCTGGCCTTGCTCCCTGGGCACTCAGCAGAGCGGCTCCACTTCCTCTCTGGTTGTCACATTATACAGTAGACACACTCAGCATGATTCATACACTCGGAGGTCCTCTAGCCACATTATTCTCAATGCTCAACTGAACAATTGCTGCTTGTGTGTTAGTGTAAGTCCCTCTGAATCTTTGCTTGCCTGCAGCTTGGGCATGTGCAGGGTACAAGGACACAATGCTAGTGCATGTAAAATAAGGCACCTGCAGTTTTTGTATACCTGACAACACAGAGGGGATGAATATTCAGCATGTGCAGGTTTCTCATTTTTGTTTCTGTCTCCAGAACCAGCAGCATTCTCAGTAAAGACCACCCCCCAGACAAGAAACCCAAAAGTGACAAAACTTCACTTCCCTCAAATGAGTTTGACCCTACAGGTAATGTCCCGTTTATTCTGCTTTTCTCTCTTATACATCTCCCTCTTCCTCGACCTCTCTACTCATCCTCTCATCTTTCTGCTGCATAGGGTCTCTCTCTCTCTTTCTCTCTTTCGCTCTCCCTGAAATACACTTGAAAAACAAACCTGCTGATTGCTCTGATGATTCACAATGCATGCTGGGATGGTGAGCGGTGGTGTGTTTATCCTGCTATTTGAACACTATTCATTTCACTTGTGTTGGCTGATCTGAGATTACTATTTGGGTCTTGTTATTTGTGCCTTGACACTTATTTTTTAAGCAGGAGTTTGAAACTTTTTGACATATTTTTGCAGTTAAAAAGTCATTACCATAGTCTGCATTTTACCTCCTGTTTGACAGATGCTTTCGTTTTGCTACATGTCATAGTTTTTAAGCTGACAGTCTGATTACAGGACCTGAAAATCTGCATGTTTAATGTCCACATGGATCTTGCAGTTTTACATAAATTAGTGCATTGTGACTTTTGTGCGCTCAAAGTTGTTGGGTGGTCTCAATGCATACTTGAAGGGCACAAAAGCCACTAAGCCTGTTATGCACGCTAGTTTCAAGTTTATTGCAGGGTGAGAAACAGACGAGTCGGATGGTGACACTCCCTGTGGTATTTGTCAGTAATCAGGGCAGCATGATTTGAGATATGACTGAAGCTTCTGTATTCAAAACAAAATAGAAAATCCTCTCTGCACCACATGGTGGCTTATCTGTGTATGATTCAACACAACATAGCCTCGGTGTGTTCTCTCAGTGGTAACACAAGACATGCACTGTGTTGCTTGTCAGTGTCTTAATTCTTCACCAAAATCTCTCTCTGTGAATTCTCTGATGGTTTAGCCTTAATGCAAAATAATAGAATAATGTGATTGAACAGCCAAATGGAAGAAAAACCTCTTAATTTCATTAAAACCCATTTCTTTAGGTCACTCTCAAATTATTATTCCTAGATATTGTTCATTTTTTGATTACTGTCATGAGCTTTTGCATGCCTGCATGCTTTTAGTCACTTTTTATTTCAAACCCCCTTTAGTTCCTTTTAATTTGCATGTACTGTAAAACTGTCTTAGATTTTCTTCTAGTTGTACTTTTTCTGTCATCATTTCAAAGTGGTTTGGGTTCATAAAAAATGAAATACTAGCTAGTCAAGGTCACATTTTCAAAGCAACTTTTGATCTGTCCCATTTGTTTTAAAAAAACTGGACACTAAAGATAAGAGACAGCTTGTTATCAGTTGGGCTGAGATAGGTTCCTCTTTTGTGATGGAGCGTGGCTATATTTTGGATCGATTTAGCATTAGCTCCTCGCCACAATCTATAAAGCTGCCCTCTGGTGTAGAAGGACATGTTGTTAATGTAATTTATAGATTACTGGTGACCTGATATGAATACTGATTCCCTGTTAGGTGTAGGGGTATTGCCATAATATTTTTGGGATGATGAATCAGACTAATTTTTAGGTTTTGATGTGCTTAAAAATGTGATTTGTACTTAAATCACATATGTTTACAATTTTAATGTAGGGTATGAAAGGCTGCATTTTGTTACTGAAGTTAGTATAGTTAAAAACTCTAAAGTGACAGTTAAATTAGTGTTGGTATCTCTGTAAAGGGGTGCCGATCCAAACCATGACATTTTATCAAGATACCTATCTGTTCATTTGATTTTTCTTCCTCCCATGATTTTTTCTCCTTCATGATTTTCTCTTTCCTGTTTTGTGTTTCCTTTCCTTGTGTTGGTTCTCGTTCTGTTTGTGCATATGTGTGCGTACGTGTGTTTGTCTGCTGATGTGCTGTCTGCGCTGTGGTCTGCGTGGTGGGGGCTCTGAGCAGAAGCTCTGGTGGTGCAGAAGAGTGGCAGCAGCAGTGTGCTAGCAGAGGGGAAGCCTGAGTCCTGTGGTAAGAAGCTACCTGCTGGAATGGCTGGTGTGACAGCTGCTTTTATACAATCCCGCAGATTCTGATGTGAAACTGCCTCTAGATGTTTGCCTTAACAGACTGATGGAGAATTACTTTTAGTTTAATTTTATCATTTTAATATTCCGCTTCTGAGTTGAGCATAGAGTCAGTGAGGAGTACCAGGCCAATTTACCTGATCTATAAAGAAGACTGTAAATTGACAAAGGGTTTCAATGAAGGATTCACTGAACAACCAGCTCCATCTTGGTTTATGGATATTTTTTTGTACTTACAAAGTTAATGTTTGGAATATATCTAGACCTGCTTAAGACCGACCTTCGCTACTTATAACATAGATTTGGGGGCCTGGTGTATAAAACAGTGCATAGAATCTATAATGAAAGTGTACATATGCCAAAAACCCTGAAATGACATGCACAAAAAAGAATTTAGATTTATAAGACAGTGAACATGTCCACTTTTACTCCCTAAGTGTCATATCCACCTGGAAATGTACACATTCATCAGCCTCAAATGCTCCCCTCTATAAGCCCACATTCATATACAGGTGGTAAATGTGAAGAACCTTATGAATGAAAACGCGTAAAAACATGCCGGCACATCATACGTTATTGCAGTGAATCACAGCAACAGCAGAGGAGAATGAGGGGGAAAGTGTCAGACATAGAAATCGAGGCGCTCATTAAAGTGGCATATAGGAAGCATAGATAGTTTTTGTGGCAGCAGGGTTGCAAATAAAAGAAAAATCACCAAATAACTTTGCTGAAATATTCATGTAGTTCTTTGCAGTGACAGTGCATCCTTTATTTATCATTTCCCATGGTTCACTGCAGTCTTTAAATGTTGACAGAATCCCCACATTATTACAGAAGTATGAACTACGAATGTAAGTTGAATGTAACATCAGTTGTAAGTTTTAATGTGTTTACTTTATCATGGTCATCTTAGCCTGTGCTTCAACTGAATATAATATAATGTACCTTGTTTACTTTAACATAATACATACTTGTAGAGCATGAGGAGAGTGTGAAGCAGCTGTTGCGCCGCCATCACTCTTTGATCATTATGGGAGCTAAAAAGTTCTTGAAGTGATGCTGCACATTAGTAGAAGATGCCTCAGATTTTAGCGCCCAATAAGTTCGGATATGATCTTGTTTCCTCCTTTGTGCTTCATGGGAGTGTGAAGGTGAGACAAAGCTGATTGAAAATGTTTGCAGCAGAGTCATCCTTTCGTCATTTATACCCGTGTTAGTGTGAAATACACCAGTAGTTTTTTTCAGTATGTACGTGTTGTTTATACACAAGGCCCCAGGATGCAATTAAAAGTTCAGAACAAAACAAAACATGAGTGAGCTAGAATTCTAAATTTTTATCAAAGTAATAGTAAATATTTGATTAAACATTTATTTTGAGTAAAGCCATGTAGAATTAAGGGTTTAGTGATAGGTCCAAATGTTAGGAGAAGGTCATTATGGAGGCTCACTGCCTCTGTGTTGTGAAGGTGTCCTCAAAACCCTGTCCAAATAATCTATCCTGCATCAACATCATCAAGGACAGTTTATTGAAAATATTTCTGCCCTCATACAAACACAAAATCATCAAGGGATTTACAAAATGCTAATTCTACCTTCTATGTTGTGTAATGACCCAGCTGTCAGGGCAGCTGGCACAAATGTCAGACTCTGCTGGTGCTTAGAATCTGTTCATAACGCTGTTTTACTGTCATATTCAACAAAGCAGAACTGTCATCTTTGTACCTGACTCAGTTATCTTCATTTCAACTCATCCAAGGAACTTCACAGATAAAAAAGACTTTATTACAACTTCAAATAGTCTGACTATCAGAAGAAGAGTACTTTGACCTTTCTGTTTCGTTAAATAATGGCTTTGGTTCCCTGTTTTATTATGGTGCAGCGGAAGATACTCCGTCAGTATTAGAGGTCTGTTTTCTGTCAAGAGCAGTTTTCCTAGTGTTCCAGCAAAGGGTGCTGATTGCAGATCAGTTAAACCTCTGAATAATACATTAGCTTAGATGGATTGACCTGATCAGTGATCATGTCAGCACTCACACTCTTCTTGTTTTACAATCAACAGCCGAGGATTTCTAAAGTAAAGCCGAGCATAAAGTCAAAGCAAAAGATCAACATCTAGAGGCAAATTCACACCAGCTCTTTTAACCCATATGGCCTCAACTCTTTCTTTGACACCCCTGTCCTCTCCCCTATCCCCCTTCCCCCCTGCTCTACCTAACCCTGTCCCTCTCTCTACACCCTTCCCCCAACCTGAAGCTTTTGCATCCCCTAACCTCTCTTCGCGTAATAGTCCCTGTTCCTTCCACTCTTCAACCCCCACCCCACCTCTGCCCTTATTGATCCACTCACCTCTCTGGTTGATGCTGCACTGACCTGGGAATCATAGATACCACAACAAACAATAATCTATGGATCACCTTCCTCAGTTTGGGTTGCTTATAACATCTGCTTTATAGAGACGTTTTAATAAAACTTGCAATTATTGGAAAATCGTCTAACTTGTTTAGTCACAGAGAACGATGTTATTTCTATAAAAGCATTTAGCATTTTTTTGCATCCTATTTCCTTTTGTGTGTTCTGGCCCATCAGTCCAGTCTATGTCAGCCAGACTTTAGATAAGCTCTAATCTCTGCTTGCCACGCTAATGAAACCCCATATGAAAAAAACCTGAAAAGTAACATAGTTCCTTCTGGCCTGTGAGACAACAACCAAACATGTCTGCAGATCTGTTTCAACAACAAAGTATTCACATTTCTCACAGGATTGAATGTACTAATTCGGTTGTCTAGTCAAGATGTTTTTTGGTGATGTTTAACTTGTGTTTATATCAAAAATACAAAAAGTCTTCCTTAGATGTTTGGGTTCAGTGGGCAACAAGCTGCCTTTACTGTACACTAAGATAAGATCCTGTTATTCTGGAAACATGATATGCTGCCAGAGATCAGTTATGGTCTGATTCGTCAGAGGATAGTTTCACATTTAAGTGAGTCTTAATGGCCGTACTGAAGTCAGTATGTGCCCCTGTTCTTTTCCATTTGTTCATACTGGCTGCAGGCAGTTTCGGTGAAAGTAAAGGGAGACAGATTTTCTTCATGGTCAGTTTGGAAAGAGGAAACGTTTAAAGAGAGCATCTGTTTTAATGCATGCATATAGACGATTATATTTATTAGATATACATTAAAAGAATTGAATTTATCCGTGAAATGAAGGTTCTGTTTATTCCATTATCTTTTGGTGATGCCAAATTTCAATCACAAGACCACGGATTGTATAAACAGCTGGTATTATGGTTACAAAGTAAAGCCCCTTCGAAATACATGCCTTGGCTTGTTTGAAATATCTGCTTTTCTTTCGATTGCAAGATAAAAAGTTAAGGTAGTTGTAGTTGATAAAATAACTTCAGTGAATACATAATTTAATTGGAGTGGCTTCCTGGTCCTTTTAAAGACAATGTTATGTCTGTCTGTCCCGTCTGTCTCGCTTGCAGGTCTGGTCCAGCGATGTGTAATCATCCAGAAAGATGAAAACGGCTTTGGGCTCACCGTCAGCGGGGACAACCCAGTATTTGTGCAGCTTGTCAAAGAAGGTAAGGCAAAGTGTTGTAACTTGAAAGGAAGAAGAAAAAGATGTCATTACTGGGACTACTTCTGGTCTGTGCAATTGTAATAGAGATGTGGGATCTTCTTCCACGCACTGACATCAAACTGTCATGGTAGTGTACGTTGTAGTCCCAGATATCTGGGTAATTGGGACTCAACCAGCACAACCACGCTGACACATTCTTAGAGAAGTCGAGCCATTGACTGCATATTTCCCCCTCACTAGTTTTACTGTGGCTGCAGCTTCTGCTTTACTGTGCTGTCTTTTGAAAAGGAGACTGGCAGCATACTTGTGGGGTCCTAGAGTCTGTCTCTGTCAGTCAGAGATGTTGTAGGCTGTTATCAGGTCATGGAAATGTTACACAGTCTGCTCTTTAGAGGAGCGAGACAGAGGAGGAAGGAACTGATCGGGAACTTTTGTTGCACTGTCATCAGTGTTTGGCAGCTTTTAGCTTTCACTGCGCAGTAACATTTAACTCCACAATGGGTTCCACTCAGTTTTAACTGGATATAATAAGGTCAACTTCAGTTTTAATGTGTCCTGGTGAATCTCTGTTAATATCTTTAGCTCTGATACACAAGTAATCCGAATCTGCCAGTACATTTTGACAAATCATTATGTCCTGAGTTTGCAATCATGCCTCTCTTTCCACTTTTACACTTGAGGAAGCACAAGTCCATTTTTAATGAGACTGATACACATTCTTTATCATTGTAAAAGCGAGGACACCAATAGGTGTATTTGCTGTACAAAATACTTAAGCTGTTTGTTGCTGACTTTAGAGTCAGACGAGGATCTCATAATAACCTGTCTCATGCCTAAATCCTTTTGTTTGGGGTGGAGCTGTGAAACAGGTCCTTCTCGTAATATAACCACTGTTATGGTCTTTCAAAATAGCTCTTAAATAGTCACTTTGCAACACCAGGTCTGTAAAGGCCATATAGTGGATTCACTCTGAAGAAATATTAAGGGTTGCTTCATGAGGGTGAATGTCTTTTTCTGTTTTCTTTCTTGTGTCCTCTCCATCCTTTCAGTTCTGTTTCTTCAGTTTATTTTTTTACTTCGCCCCTAGTATTTTTCTTAATGCTGTTCTCCCTCGTTGTTTGCCAGATGGGGCTGCTATGCGGGCAGGTGTTCAGACAGGAGACAGGATCATCAAGGTATTGTGCTCATCTGCCTCTGTGTTTAAACTGCTAGTCACTGTTTCCATGTCCAAGAGCAGAACTCAGGCTGTAGGCTGCCACCTTCTGGCCACTCTGTGTTTCTGCTCTCATCTTCTATGAATTTAAATCGAATCTTGAAATTGTGTTTTAAGAAAATAGTTTTTGAATTAGTTTGAGTTGTTTAAAGTTCATCCTTATGCTGTACATTTTTTCCAGGTTAACGGGACCCTCGTTACACATTCAAATCACATTGAGGTGGTGAAGCTCATCAAATGTAAGATTTCTTATCTACCATCTTTTGTCAATATTAAAAAGAAATATGAGTATAAAATTGACCCTTTTTGCTCTGATGTTTTTATTGTAGCGGGCTCCTATGTGGCCCTCACAGTGTTGGGGCGTCCTCCAGGACTCCCCCAGATTCCCTTGTCTGAGGCGGAGTCTGAAATGTTGGGTGTTAGCATTTCCTCGCCAAACTCACCAGCAACAGAGCGCCCCTATAGTCCTCTGGACCGATTCTCCTCTGCTCACACATCATGGGTACGGAAGACACCATCCTCTTACATTGACCATCGACCTTTCACTTTTATTGATAATTCCTATTTATTCCTTTAATATCATTCTACCTTTGTAATTAATTCATTCCCTCTTTGTTATTTAGTTCTTGCTCTTCATTATACTCCTCCTTATACCAGCCTTCTTTAAAAAATATATACTATAAGCTACAATATGTGTTATGCTCATCTAATGTTTGCATGAATGCTTTCTTGTGTGCACAAACGCCTTTTTAAATTGTCTCGCCTTTATAGCACTGTAAGCTAGGAGGCAGCTAAGGTGCAACACCCTTGTGTGTTTTTGTGTCCACTATGTGTTTACCTTAGGTGCTTAATACATAATATAATATAAAAACCACACACTGGGGCATCAATATTACGCTGTGTGGGAATCAGCTTGAAAGGCATGACAGTAAAGCTGCTCTTCTGCAGCCTCATAACTTAAAAAAAAAAGACTGAAGTTTCATGTGTTTTCAACTTTCCTTTTGTTTCCCCCCTGCAGGATGAGAACAGCAGTGTCTGCAACCAGAGGGTTGATGTCTTGCAAAAGATGCTCTCAAGGGAGCAGCAGGAGCTTCAGGTTGGCATAACAATCACTTCTACCAATGCTGATTTCAACATGGTTTACGGACAGTGTTTAGAGGCTACATCTGAACATTGTTCTGAGTTTCCCCCTCAGTGGTGCTCCACACAGGAGATCATCTTTTTTATACGAGTGCCAAACAAACTGGTGTACTTAACTGTGTTTTCATGTGGGACGTAAGAGAGGTTGAGAACTCTCTGTACTAAATTGATATTTTTAAAACAATAGAGATAATCTACCGTGTTAATGAAAGAGTTAAAAAAAAAAAAAGGTAGGCGAACAGGAAAAAAAGTATGCAGCAGCTTTACTGACTGCAGAGCCTTCAAGGTCATCAGTTTCCTCCTGCTTGTTGTGTATGCTTCACATAGTTGCAGACTCTGTTCACCATCTACAAATATACCTCATAGAAGGACACTGGTGTCCTTTAAGTAAAATACTTATCCTGTCATATCTTGTTAAATTTTAGCTGAGTTGACATTTGTGTCCTGATATACATCTCCTCTCTGTAAAGCCCTTTTAAGTTAAGGGTTTCCAGACATCTTTGAAATGTTCTCTAAGGACCCCCTACTGTTAAAACTGTTAATTATTGAAGGTTGGCAGTACTGCATTTGCACCCCTAATTACTAAAAGAACATTGTTTTGTGAGATAGAATTGATTCAAGTAGATGTGTTGATTAGATAAAACTGTGCTTTTACAATCAGGGATTTTCCAACAGACAACATGCTCCATCCACATATGACATGTTTTTTTTTTGTAGCCTGATTGTAAACAAATAGCAGGATACTACAGTTGATTTCACTGCTTATTTTACAGGCCATGAAAGAGGAGTACAGCAGGAACCCCTCCCCCAAACTACTGAAAGACATCCAGGAAGCTAAAAAACACATTCCTCAGCTGCAGGGTCAGCTCTTTAAGGCCACTGGGGCATCACAGGTAAAGTAAAAATAACTCCCCATCAACTACCTCATTGAGATGTCCAAGAACACTGATCTAAAAGCAAAACCCAAGCAGTCTATGCATAATTTGGTACTGGGTGTTCAGGGATCGCTCCAGACTAGCAATAATCCTAATCTCATCAGAGGATTAGGCTTTCTCTGTGGGAAGCCACTCTTTTGTGTCTGTGTAACAGCTTATTTTTACACACAACACTCACTGAACCTTGTGTTGTGTATTCTAGCATATTTGTTTGTTGTTGAAATGTCAAAATTTATAACGATGAGATTACCGTCCTTAAATATGCACATGAATGATATTACCAAGATTTTTTGGCTTAATACAGTCGGCGCATGATTTATTCTGGACCTCCTGAATCTTGTTCTGGTGTAATTAAGCAATCTTGTGTCTACATGAATCTTTAGGAGGCTGTTCCAGGTGTCGATGCAGATGATGGTAGCACGTTTGAAATGGAGCACACCCCTGGCTCTAAGGGAGACAACATTACAGACCTTTCCTGGAGCAGCACTCCTGTAAGTTTTCACATATCAGCCCAACCAACTAAAATAATTTGAATTCCTCTCATAAGCCGAATGTCATGCCCTTCATTCCATAGGAAAGGTAAGCTAAAGGATATCAGATTCATAGAATCATGCGCTTTAAATTGGACAAGTCCAAATTAACCCAGTTTAGGTTTAGCTACTTTAGATCCAAACGACACACATGCAACCATGATACTAAAGATTTGAGTTCTTTTGGTATTTATTTTTCTTTATTCTTTATTGCATGTCCAGTTATCTCGGGGATTTGGGCCTGGATCTCCAGACAGCTTCTGCCCAAGCCCAAAGAGCACTCCCAGGAACAGCTTAAACTCCTGCCACTCCCCAGAGGCTGAGGATGCCACTGACCTGGTGACTATATTCAATAACAAAGTCAAAGATACCTGCAGATGCTAAATAGGATTGTGTTTTGTAGAACAAACTCAATTATATCCTAAATATTTAAGTGTGTGATGAATGACCTGTGCAGTGTAGTGTTTGTGGGTTATACATGTCAAATGGAAGAATTTCTTCTGGGAAAACATCAACTCAACTCTGCAACTCTGTCTTTTCCCCAGGACTCCTTGTCCCCTACTACAGTTAGCAGTCCCTCTTCCTCCCGGCTTGTCTCACAAATCATTGGAGCTGAGGACGATTACTTTGATTCAGATCAGGAACAGGTAATTTATAGTTGGACGATTTTAATACTTCAGTGTCGACCTTTCACTCTTACTCAAACAAGTGTTACATCCAGAGTTTAAAAAACAAAACAGGAATGATAAAGTCATGAGAACATTGTCTTAGTTTGCAGAGTGTAAATTTTGTTCAAGCTGGTGTTTTGTAAGGTGATTTATTTTAGTATAAACATCATTGTACTGATTTTTTTTTTTTTCAGACAAATGGCCAGTGTAACAATTTTAACAGCATTGATCAGCTCAAGTCCCGGCCCGCCCACCTCGCAGCCTTCCTTCATCATGTTATCTCTCAGTTCGACCCTGCTCCTGTGGTAAGACCCTCCCCTTTACACCTCATTCAAATGTCTTGATCTCCATTTTCAGTGCATTTAATGTTCAACAGTCCTCCCAGCCCAGAATTTCTTTTAAACTTATCTTCCGTCTTCAGCTGTGCTACCTCTATGCTGACCTCTACAAGCAGACCAACTCCAAAGAGACCAGACGGGTGTTTATGGACCTCCATGCATTTTTCATTGACCGGGGAGCAGTAAGTACAGTTTCCTGTATATTATTCTTTGAATTACGCCCACTAATTCAGAATAATTATGATGAGATGTCTGGTTAAACACCGCAGCATCCACAATACTCCAACAGTGTTTGGATGATTTGTGATCTAAACTGTTATTTAAGGCATTGTAAAGTATATAAAATTTCAAATAATCATTTATATATATATTTTAAGAAAATGTCAATTTATTTATTTCTTTATTTATTTGCAGAATTTAAAAGTTGCTGTCCCTGAATCCATCTCTGCTGATCTTGGTAAGAATCGTGCTTTGCTTCATCACCTTGCAGTTGTGGACTTAGAGTCACTTTGAGTCTATGAGCAGTCTATTAGAGCCACTCTCTGTACATCTGTTGGCTCACCTCTCTCTTTTACCATGTCAATAGTACCTTCAAGTTTTAACATACATATGATGTGCTCTCCCAGCTCATGTTTTAGGAAATACAATCCTCTGGTGGTGGAGAAATCACTGCTCCACCTAAACAGTGCGTTTGTTTTTAAATCCTTTGAGACTTGGCACACAGTTTATATGAAAGTGCATATGGTTGTATTTGCAGATCGGCGGCGGACAGAACTGATCCCTGAGGAAATTAACAGACAGCATGTTCAAACACTGCAAGACTCACTGCTCCCTGACATTCAGAGGAACCTTGAGGATTTCAGGTAAACTGGCTCATTCTGACTATTTGGATTTTATATACTTTATCCGTTTCTGGTTAAACAATGAGTTCCCCGCTGAGTACACTAACCGTGGTATATGACTTTGACATGTTGGCACATGCAGGCAGAAGCGCAGTATGGGCCTGACGGTGGCTGAAGTAGAGCTGGCCAGACTGGACCAAGAGAGAGTCAGAGACCGTGTGGCTCTGGAGCGAGAGCGCTCATATGCTGAAAACATCATTACCAAAATAGAGGACGTTTTGTAAGTACAACATGCCGTTCATACAGCCATGCACCCCTTGGAGGCACCATTGCACTAAATCTGATGTTTGTCCTCTCTTTTCTGTATTGTTTATAGATTAAGTACTCAGACCACAGAGGAAGAGAAATGGTAAGCAGATTTTGGCCGTTTGAAATGAAAATGTCTTGGAGCATGATGATGGGATTCTTCAAACACTCTTTGGGCTTCATTCCAGATATTCACTGTATTTGTAATGTTTAAAGTGTCTCACAACAGTCTGAACAAATGACTGTGTCATTTCTCATATTAACAGACCTCCTTTTAATTACTTCTCAACATGTGATCCAAACAATAATATGTACTTATTAGTTATTTTTGATGTTGAAACTAAGAATACAAATATCTCCTGTAGTTTACAACAGAGACAGTCATGCCATCTCTTAGATATAGGATCAAATTCAAGCCATATGTTTGTTTTGATTGAATAATTTAAAGTGTGACTGATTGAAACAGTCTTGTTGGAAAAGCCATATGGCCACAGAACAGCCCAGATGGTTTGTGTAGAAATTATACGAGAAGGACTGGTATGACATATGGTAGAAGTCATAATGTGGACACTTCCAGTTTAAGCATTCTGTTTATATGCTGGTTAGGATTCAGAAAGGAGGATTTAGACTCATGTGATGTCCCTTCTGTTTCCATTTAGCACTACAATGCAGTATGTCATTTATACATACATGAAGCACCTTGGCGTGAGGGTAAAAGAACCTCGCAGTATTGAGTCCAAACGGGTTAGGATCAACTTTCTCCCCAAAATCAAGGTACTTCTGCATATGCATTTTCTATCTTTGCGATCGTCTGAGTCTCCTCCTTAAGATCTGCCTCACACACTCTTTTTCAATGTGCTACAGAAAAGTATCAAGACTGAAAAGGAGGGAGAAGAGAAGGTGAAGAAACCCAGATTTCCCAGTATTCTTGGACCTCAGCGGAGACCCAGTCGCATTGAAGCAGCATCAGGTGAGCGGGGACTTACAGTCAGGCTAAATTTATGTCGCTGCTACTTGAACTTTATCATTTTTTGACTCCTTTTTAATATGTTTTCAGTGGGTAAAGCCTTGGATGGCCGTCCCAGGCCTCAGAAACAGTTGTCTCAGCCTACACTGGGTGCAAGTGATCACGCAGATGGTGGTCGTCTAAGAGGCAGCCAATCTAGCGAGGGCTCTGAACTCACACACTCCACTTCTGTCAACACCTCGTCCCCAAGCAGCGCCAACTACAGCTCCGACACAAGTCGAGATGCTGAAATGGGTGAGCTTCGAAACACTTTAAATAAACACAGGGGTAGAAGAGAAATGCAAAGGATCATTGGTTTCTAAATTGTGACTTGTCTCTCAGGTGGAACTCCAACCTCTGGCCCCTCCAGGCTGAGTGATGGCCTTGTGTCTGACCCCTTGGATGGGTTGCCATACCCTGCATCGCACTTTGACCTATACAGCCTGGACCAGCTGCAAGAAGATGACAGAGAAAGTGATAGGTGCGTTTATAGTCACATTTGCAGCAACACTTTTTTTTTTTTTCGTTACGGAGGAAACATTTGTTCTTGACATTGATTTTTCTGTTTGTAGAGCCCACGAGGGAACACCGAAGGCCATAAGAAGGTGAGGATTAAACTTAACTCTATCTAGAAGATGAGAAGTGAGGTCAGACAGATAAAAAGCTAACTCTGTGTCTGTTTCTAGGCTGGAGGGACTGGGTGCCGCCGACGTACAGAGTGAGGACGACCAGGGAACTGACTCTGAGCATGACCCTCTGAATTGGCAGCAGCTGGTGGGAAGAGAGGTCCTAGCAGCTCTCAGGCCTCAGGAAATAAAGAGACAGGAAGTCATCAACGGTGAGGACATAGCTAACCTGTTCAGATGACATAATACCCCCTAAAGTCAAATCTGTTTTCAGTGAACAGGTTTTCCTTTCATCTATGAGAACACAAGTTATTGAGTGATATGACATGCAGCTTCAGATCACTAATCATTCCTTTCTGTGTTAATACCCTGACATCTTGACGTTGTTCCCGCAGAGCTGTTTTACACTGAGCGAGCACATGTACGGATGCTGAAAGTTTTGGACCACGTTTTCTACCAGAAGCTCTCCAAAGAGGGCATCCTGCCTGCTGCTGACATCAAAAACATTTTTACCAACCTGGAGGAGATTCTACTGCTGCATGGTACACACAGACACACACATCCTGAAATCCATATGTAACCTGTATCTAAATGCACTGGATCCATTGGGGAAAAAAATGTAATAAACCAGAACTGAGGTAGTGAGAATTAAGATAAAGCATCTGGTAAAATTAAACCACAACAAATTATTAAAACTTGGAACTAAAAATGTTTGTAGAAACATGACCATCCCTTATCTGCCATCTGTATTATCCTGCACACACAGTCGATGACTTGGTTTCTTTCCTCTGGATTTCAGTTTCAATACTGGAGCAAATGGCAGCCGTTCGGAAGAGAAATGAGTCTTCAGTAATTGATCAGATAGGAGATGACTTGCTCTCCTGGGTGAGTAGAATTCTCAGGCTGAGATTGTATTTCCTCCTTTCAAACATTTTCTTATATTGAACGAATCTCAAGATGACTGATGTGTTGGGGGGGGAAAGTACCGTGCATAAAGGAATTGAACTGCTCCCATGAATTCTTTCATGACAAGAAAAAAAAATGTAGGTGTGAAACTGCGTTCTTTAACTGCAGCTGTGTCGATATTTGCTCATCATATAGACATAAAAATTGTCCTGTATCACAATACAGAAGGGGTTATTTCAGGTTTTTGCACACTTGAAAGGATAAACTTTGGACATAAAAAAGAATTGTGGAAACTCTGTAGTATAACTGAAGCCTCTTCCTCTGGATAGTGATGTCAGATAGTGCCCTAGATTTTACTGACATTTCTCATGTAGATATCATGTTTAATACGTTAGATGTGAAGAAGCCACCTATCAGTCGGCAGTCTCGTCTGAAACATTTCTATGGGGGATAAGTAGGGTAAACGGTCCCCTGAGGGTTGCAGCATTGATCTAGTCTACATTAAAAGTTAAGCTGTCTCTTCTACGAAGAAGGACTTAAGCCTGCCCCCCCTTCTGGGAGTCGCTGCTCATGGTTAAATAGTAAGGCATTTCCATGGCAACTAGCCTTGACCCAGATCAACTGGGCGACTGATCACCGTCTCTGCATGTCTCCTTACGTCTCTGTGCGTCTCTGCTCTGTCCTGTCTTGGGTCGGGCGGTTTACAGTTCAGCGGCGGAGAGGAGGAGAAGATCAAGCAGGCGGTGGGAACGTTCTGCAGTAACCAGCCTTTCTCTCTGGAGATCATCAAGACCAAACAGAAGAAGGACTCACGCTTTGCTTCATTCATTCAGGTAATGACTCATGCTTCTATTCTGTTAAAAAAATAATGCTGGACGGAGCCAAATACCTAGAACAGAAGAAAAGGATGCCTCATTCACATCACTTAAATTACAGCTGTCACTCCCCTGAAAAATAACCTAATCTACATTTGCTGTCTTTTTATTCTCCTTTTTTTTTGCTATTGTTTGAGCACTTATCTTAAGAGAACCTGTCTTTTTTTTATTGCTTTGCAGGAGGCAGAGAGTAACAGACTGTGTCGCCGTCTGCAGCTTAAAGACATCATTCCCGTAGAGATGCAACGGCTCACCAAGTACCCCCTGCTACTTGATAACATCGCCAAGTACACAGGTGCTGTCGGGCTTCCTTACCAATCGGTTCCTCACAGAAGTCTGATTTGTCAATGTTAAAGACAGTTATAGATTGTTGCAGGATATTATTATATAGTCATAGATGTTTCAATTACTTTGTGTAAAAATTCACCAGATTTAGAATTTTTGCTCTGAACAGTTTTTGGTCCATTGATTGTTTGATGTTGGACTAATTGCAACCACTTTAGAGGAGACTATAGTCACCATGACACCGAGTATGGTTAATGCATTCAGTGAAGCACCTGCCACTTATTTTGGATACATATAAAGCCTTAATGATGCCATCGTACCTGCAGGGAAATCCTCAGAGCTGCTTATAGTGCATGCAGGTACAAGAATAAATACCAAATTTCAATCACTGTATCCGTCACACACAGTCAAATTTTAATCGAGTTTTGATAAATGGCGGTGTTGAACCACTGTTTCTGCTTATTCCCTGAACCACTGCGAGAAGTGTCAGATTTATTTGACTAGGGAAACTGTTTTATTGTCAGCCGCCTGGAACAGCAAACCGGCTGAATAGCTTACACAGTTTAATATGCTGCACCGCAAAGGGGATAGTTGTCAAATGCTACCTTCACAGTACGGTTAATTTGTTTTATCCAGCCTTCACTCCCACGATCTTCAATTTCTTGACTTTTGCTCAGTAGCTATAAATAGAAATCAACCCTGGGAAAATTGAAATAAGATGAACTATACTCAGTCTTAAGCAAGGTTGAGTGTGGCAGCATGCCAACCATCAGACAAATGTAGGAATTAACATTTTAATGCTGCTGGAGGGGTGGTGCACATTTTAGGAAATGTCTGGCCCATTATTTGCTTCATCATTTTAGTCTTGGCTGGAGTTCTGGCCTCACACAGAGGAAGCACACTAAAGATAAAGCATAACCAGCCATTACAGGATCATAATGCCCCCTTTGCTTTATCATAATTTTTGAGAACGATGGTGTGTTAATGGGATGAAGAAATATCAATTTGCTGGACAGCCCCCTGCAGAACTATGGAGGCCTAACTCCTTTTTGATGTCATAATATCTTTACAGACAGTGCAGCAGAGAAGGACAAAGTGAAGCAGGCAGCAGACTGCTGTAGAAAGATCCTCAATCGCGTCAACCAGGCTGTGAAGGAATCTGAGGACAAGCAGGTGTGATGTTTCTTAAAATCCCATTTTATGCTCCCCTCCAAGTCTAATTCTTCTTCTATTTAAGTCTTCTCTTGAGTCCTTCCTTCTTTCCCTGCTCCACCACAATTTATTTTTCACCCCCTTCTTTGCTCCCTGCCAGAGGCTTCTTTTTAAAGAGCGCCTACTTATCCTCTTTCTGTCTCCACTTCTCTCTGTCGTCTCCCTAGAGGTTGGAGGACTATCAGAGAAGACTGGACCTCTCCTCTCTAAAGCAGACAGACAACCCCATGATCCTAGAGCTAAAGGTGAGCTCTCTACAGTCCCAGTGGTTTTACTTGTTGCACGCCCACACACACCATTAGAAATAACTTCAGGGTAGAAGGTCGTACAATAGGAGACCTGCTCCACTGACCGGTAGCAACTGTTGAATAATATTGAATGAATTAATCTGTCCTACCTTTAAACAGAATTTGGATCTGACAAAGAGGACGATGGTGCACGAGGGTCCACTTTCATGGAAAGTTAACAAGGACAAGACAATTGGTTTGTAATCAGCATAGATAAGACTTTGGTTTTGATCTATGTCTTATATTTCCTCCCAAAAGAATCACCATTTTTTAACCTCTCATTTACTTTCAGAGCTGTATACACTCCTCCTGGAAGACATCCTTGTTCTGCTACAGAAACAGGATGAGCGTCTGATCCTCAAGTGTCACAGTAAAAACCTGGCAGGCACCGCGGATACCAAACATATCTTCAGCCCCATCATCAAACTCAACACTGTGTTGGTGCGCTCTGTGGCAACAGGTCAGTTACTAACCGGTCAAAGTTTTTTTTTTTTCATGTACTTTATTGTTCAAAAATGACAGAACTTGGAGGAAATTTCATGCTGGATGATCAGATCAAACAAGTGGGGTCATTCATAAATCTCGCTTTCTGTCTCCACTCACTCCTGCCAGACAACAAGTCCTTCTTCGTCCTCTCCATGTCAGAGAATGGAGCTCAGATCTATGAGCTGATGGCGCCAACAGTCTCAGATCAGAGATTGTAAGTACACACACACACTTTTTTATTCATCTTTAAATTTTTACTGCTTCACTTGCTTCACTTATATCTGTATATTTATTTCACAAGGTGGCAGGGTCTCATCACACAGAGAGCCGATGCCATGAAAGTGAAACCTCACAGTGTGATACCTTTACCTCAGACTGAGTACGTCATGTTTTCATCTTTCTGAATTAATTTGAACTAAAGGCTAATTCGGCGTTTGAAATTGTGGCTGACTGAAGATGTTGTTTGTGTGGCAGTGGGGAGAGAGACGGTGTGGAGATCATTACAGCAGGTGTTTCCAGGCTGAGCAGGGACCCCGACCGCACATCCACAGGCAGCACCCAGTCCACAGGTATTCATAGATGTTCATTTCTTTTTATAGTTTTCTCCCGATGCTACTTTATATGCCTCACCATGCCCAGCTGTCGGGATAATTCTTCTCTGATATCTGTAATTATCTCCCCTCAGATAAAGAGAGCAGTCCAGCCTCGAGGAATGTGATGCAGAGTTCTTTACCAGGTAGTAATCCATTCGAGGAGGTGAAGGCAGAGGAGGAGGAAGAAGAGGAAGGTTTTGTGGACCCAGAGCTGCCTTACCAAGTGGCTGAGGACGGGAAGGAAGGAGACTCATTTGATATGTTTCCCTGCAGGGCTGATGAAGCACTGAAAACATGTAAGCAAAGAGCGAGGACAACTGAATTATTCTCTGTGTTACTAACAACCAGCTGCACACATGAACTCTTTCCTTTCAATTTTCCTGCAGTGGCAGCATTAAAACAGGTGCTGGTGACCCAGCTAATGTCCCAGGAGGCTGCAGAGCAAACCAAACGCTCCACAGGGGCCCGCCTCCTCAGGACCACCTCCCTCCGGACCCCCGTTGACAGTCGTGCTCGGGTGATGGTCCACAATGGCTCAGAGAAGGGCAGTTCTCAAACAGAGGACCGGTCTCAGGACCTGGGCTCTGGAGACACGGGCTTCTTTGATTCTCCTGAAGATTATGGTGAGCCTGGACAGTTTGAGCAATCGCTTTAGATTTTGATCAAATGTGCTTCTGGGTTTTGTAAAGTTTACCATCAAAATAATAATTAAATGCTTTAAAACTTAATTTCTTTGCTTAAAAACCATCGGGACCCAACAAAATATACAAAACTAAATTAAACAGAAAGGCATGTGCATGAAGATCTCTTGTTATGCAATGTCTGGTTAAGGAACAAGAGTTCAGGCTTTCAGCAGCTTAAATGGAAATACCTGAAAAAAAAGGAAAAGGTATCTCGTATGGGGTCATTAGTATTAGAGTGCTTTTAGAGTGCTTGTACAATTTAGAGTCTAATTACTGATTCCTGATTTATTCCTCTTGCTAAATCTCTTTTAAATTCTAATTTATGTGAGACAATTAGCAAGACATAAGAGGTTTGAAGTGATACTTTGTTGAATTGAGAGATACAGCTGTGAATCATTAAGGTAGCAGTGAAGTGAAATATAATGTTCCTTTATAATCGGGCTAATTGAGAGCGCATACAAAGAAAATAAAAAGGTCCCAGTATCGACCCCTGAGGGACTCCACAAATTACTAAGTGGTGAAGGGAAGAATTTCCATTAATTATGATATGGAGCGTGCACAGTTTTGTCTGTCACCTCCTAATCCTTGTTTTTATAAGCACTTCTAATGTTAAAAGGTGTTTTACTTTCTCAGCAGGATATTTAGTCCTGGAGGGTTATGGTGGTCCAGGGGAGAGCAGCACCGATGATGACATCTTGGCATCGACCACAGGGAAGCAGCTGCGCACGTCACAAGGCTGCGCAGCCGACTCTGGTATCAACTTAAGGTTTTCCTCAACATCACAAGCCGGCAGCCTCTCCTCTTTTAGTAGACAGGTCCTGTCTCACCTAAGAAACCTTCAGTCCAACCTCAACTATCTGAAGGTATCTTGACAGTTGATATGCTCGACAACATGCATACGGATAAAAGTTTTCTCTTTTTGACACATGGTTGTCGAATTAGTTTCATAACCTTGCATTGAATTGTGTTTCTTTTGAAGGAGGTGGAGGCAAAGTACAATAATCTACTACGCCAAAGGCCAGAGAGGGCAGCAGCAGACACACATGGAAACAAAGGTATCTCAATTCACGCTCACTCTCAGCAGATATATAAGAAAATTTCATTTGTGAGCTATTCCCTGTCTGTGTCCTTTTTTTTAACTCTTACAATCTAATTTTCTCCGCAGATAAAAGATAGTGGAAGTCGTGCTTCAGTTTACGGTTCTGGTCCACACAAAGAGGAAGTACTGACCGGCAGTCTGTTCCAACTTCTCATGTCCTGGACTTTTTAGGACATCCTATAAGCTTGTCCTCTCACTGCTGAGCCCCTCCTGTTTTCTATCGCCGTTCCCCTACGGTCGCCACAGAGAATGAAAGACTTGAGTGAAAGCGGAATCATTTGAAGGGGGTGGGGGGGGAGTCATCTCCGTGATGCTGTGTCCCCCCCCCCTTCATTCAGCACAAGGCAATCAGGGAAGTGGGAATGCCCCCTATCCTCACCCATCCATCATCTAACAACCATTTTCCTGGATCTCCTTGCAAGAAAGAGAACTCATACCAAAATGTACAAAGATGTGTGTTTAGAATATATATATATGAAACACGAAACAAGAAAAGGAAAATTTTAAGATAATGTATTAAGATTTTTTTTATCCCAAGATGTATTTATTTTCTTTCTTTTCATTTTTTAAAGTGTTTCCCACATTGCTTGCATGCTTTTGGCCATGGTGTTCACCTTTTTGGCTGCTTCTCCTGCTTCAGTCATACAGGGTCAGTGTGAGTGTTGAGTGCACGCTAGCATGCAAGCAATGCTAGCCTAGCATACCCTGATTAAAAAGGCAGGAATATATTCAGACTGATAGAGGCCAGAGTTGCACTGGTGATAGAAAGATCCCATTGTGTTTAAAAACTCTTGAATTGTGTTGAAGTCTAGAATTTCAGATGAATTCTAGGTTTGGTGTAAACTAGAATGAAGAGTCTGAAGGCTCTGATCTGGTCCTGTTGCATTTCTGTGCTGCCTCCTTTCTTCTCCTCCTCACTGTGAGATGTATTTTGTCTCCTCTTGGCTCCTCTTTTCCCTTGTGTTTGATTCTGCCACTTCTTTCACCTCCGAACACTTATGGGTGTCATCCTTTTTTTCTTTTTCTCACAGCCCAGTGGCTTTCCTGCTTATTTATCCCCTCCCCACACATATGTCATGCTGCTTTGTCTGCCTTTGGGTATCTTTCCCCTTTCCCCCTCTTGTACAAGGAGTGCCCATGCTCTTTCTGCATCAGCTGCTGACAGAAATGCTGCTTCTTTCTGCTGCTGTTGGCAATGCTGATCTGACTGCCTGATACTCTAATAATGTCATGAAGTTCAACATATACTGTAAAATGATCAAGTTGAAAGGTTATGCATAACTTTAATAAATAAATGGTGCCATGACACATTCAAAAATGGAAACTTGCATGTTGCGTTTTCTTTCAGCTTTATTATTTTGAGTTTGTTTTGAGGTTGTTTTGCAAGAAAACATGTAAAACCACATCATTTTTGGCACAGTGCTCGGTAAAACCAAACAGTTTTGTTCACTGCTAAATGAATTACAGTTTCAGTTAAGGAAAAATGATGAATAGCCATTTTTACTTTAAGTGGGTTGAAAGAGATCAAGTGCTTCTTGATGGATTGGCCGAGGGACTGCATAAATTAACAATTTGAGCTTGAAACTTTAACCATTTGAGTGCTATGAATAACTCCATCTGATCACAGCTGTAGGCCACTGCCTCAGTGCTGCTCTGCTGGAGATAATGGTCTTATTAACACATCTGAACACACAGCAGGAGTCATACATTTCAGGTAGTGTTCAGATGACGTGCTTGCTTCTCTTCCATCATGATTCACTCTGTTTTAATTTTAGATTTAATTTATTGATTGGATTTTTAGTATGATTGGGATTTAATTTCACCACACAGGTCTATAGCCCAACACTTTTTTCAGGTTATTATTATTATTAGTAGTAACAGTAGTAGTAGTAGTAGTAGTATTTGTACACTTGGATAGACTCTTTGCGTTCAAAATCGCAATAACGTCCAAGGTCATTTAGACAAAATATAGGACATCTGTTCTAGTAAAGTGTATTTTTTCTAAGTTACCATGACAACCATGTTTGGCAAAAACGACAGTATTTGTTTTGTATAGCTATATATTTTTTTATTTTTTTAATCATTTGTCGTTTTTTAATTTTGTAGTAGACTTGCATCGAGTTATGCAGTCTCGCTTGTGCTAGCATGACTGCTCAACATCAACTGGCTCACCAGCATAACTTTGATGACCAAGGGGTTATATGCCAACTGTGACTGTGTACTGTCTTAATGTAAATATATAATAGTTTCAAAGTAAAGTCTAACCCCTTTCTGCGTCAAATTGCTTTCAAGACTAAAAATTAGCCTTCTCTTTGTGGTTGTCAAAGCTACTGGTGCATGCAGTGCTAACAAAGAGCAAAGAGTAGTTGAAGTAGCAACAGTAGTATATTTCTGTAACCACTTGGACTAAGCTTAGTAAAAAGCGACTTCTCAAAATCTCTATGCATTTAAATCGATAACTGCACAAATGCTATTATAAAGAGAGATTATGACCATGACTAAAATTAATGTTATTATTATTATGGTCAAATCACTGTAATTATGTGACTGTAATATATGACTGTCCCCTGCATTAAAGCTTTATAAGAGTCATGGACACGGAAAAACACGGATATACAAAAAACAACTTGTTTTCGCTGACCAGAATGATACTTCAGTTGTGATCTGAAATGTTTTAAAAGTCCAAAATAGAGATAGATCCTTTAGGGGGGTTTGATCAAGGACACCAGAGAGGTGGCAACCATTGCCAGCAGGTGGCAATCTTACACTGTTACACAGCAAGTGAAGAAGACCCACCCTGAAACCTGCAGTGACATCAGTGTTTTAAATAATCCAGGGAGCGTATTGATTTTTTAGAGACATTTGACTCCAGTCTCGCACAAATAAATGAGTATACCAAGAAAGACTAAGAGATGCATTTAGTTTGCCTCTTTACGCTGTGGTCAAGAAGGTCTTTCACAGGACAGTGCAACATTTTTTGTGACTTTATCTGAGTTTACTGCTAATTACAGTAAAAGAGCCACATTTGTGTTATACTTGGCATTAGTTTCTGCCCACTCTCTTTCTCTGTGTATGAGAGTAACAGCTGGAGGATATCTCACAGCCTGAATTACATGTTCTGTCTTCTTTTATCGCAGTCACCCTGAATGTTGGCGTGCTGCAGTGAGGAAGAGCAAAGAGGGATGAGGGGAGAGAGAGAGAGAGAGAGAGGGAGAGGGAGAGGGAGGATGTGTTTTGAGAAGACAAAGAGAAGCTAGACAAGGTATGAATGGAAAACGGGTTACAAAAAAAGAAAGGAAAGATCATAAATTAAGAGCAAGAGAAAGGAAGAGGAGGGACTGAGTGCAGGGAGGACACAGAGGAAAGGGGATGGTAATTGATTGTCCTGTTTCTCCACATGCACCTGTCATCAAGCTAATTGCAGCGGCAGAGGAGAGAGGTGTCAGTCAGATCAGGGGCTTTCAGGAGGGCAGTTTATATCAAGCTTAGATAAGGTGAGCCTTCACCCCCCTTCTACCCTTCAGCGATATAACAGCACTTTGTGAGGGAGGAATAAAAATCAAGCTTTAGTCATTTGAGGGAAACCGAAATCTGGTCCCATGTACAACCGAAAACAAAGAACTGCACTGGCAGTTCATCCTTTTCCTGAAAATACTGAACATATTCCCAGGATTCAAAGCCAAGTCTAAGAATCAAGTTCAGGATCTGATGTGTTTACCTGATTCTCTTCACCTTAAAGATCTGTGAACTGTGGATGATTACAGCGGAGTGTGTTATTTCGCTTGCTGCCATGGGGCTTAATCTCAAGATAATGATGCTTTACTAAATAACTCTTGACTGGAAACAAACAGTGAATGAGACATTTATTCCCTTCATCTCTCCACAAATAGCCATACTATCGTCCTACCCTGAAAAATGTGCATTAAACGGATGTAAGCTTTTCTAGAAACATACATACATGCATATACACAGTGTGCATATTTCTCTTTCATAGGGTTTGTCATCAATATGTTAATGCACCTTAAAGTGTATTAGCATTTTAATGCTTGTACCGTATATTTTCACGCCAGCTAGCAGCACATGTTTCACTGCATAAAAGTGAATGAACTCGTATTGTTGCTGCATAACTGGTTTCTAATGTCAGTGTTGTCACGGAGAGAATAAATCAGTGTCGATTTGCTGCCGTGTTAAATTTGATGGTTCCACGTATCAAAATACGTACAGACAGGATGGCCCTCATTCTCTATTCTGCAGGATTCATTGTACAGGTTTGATGGGCTGACCATCAATGCATATTGCAGCTGCTTGCACCCACACGGCATGCTAAGTCAGTCATCAATGTGATCAGCATGCTTGGGTTAAGTCAAACTTTACCTTGGGCTAGTGATGGGCACAGCAGTTCTTTTAGGTGTACAGAATCACTAGAATCAGTTCACTAAAAAGATTTGTTCAAAAGATTCGTTCACCAAATCACTGAATCATTCAGCACTTGGCGGGAGGAGCCTGCGACTCCAACCTCCTGAACTGATACACAGCTGAACGTTTCAGGATTCAGTTCAGATTCATAGCTTCTGGGATCCGGAGACGAGAGTGTTTGTCTGTGTTGCTTTGGCAAACAGGTTTGTAAAAATGAACTTGTTTATAAGTCATGATGTTTTAAGTGTACTGTCCTATGGTATGCTATTTATCAGGTCTGCTCGGTAAATTGGGGTCAGTGAGTGATTCATTCACTGAAACTTTAGAAGAATTCACACTGAACATGCACCGTTCCCTCGCAATGCTGCAGGTTTAATACACTACTTGTTACATGCTTTGTCCTATTGTATGCAAATTGCTGTGGTGGCAATTTTGCAGTGAAAAAAAGGGAGTTTTGTCTGACAAAAATGATTCCAGAGAGTGCAGTTCAATGCATGATTCGTTCACCAAGACGTCAGTGCATGGGGTCCCTCGTTTACTGGCTGCTGGCCTGGCAATGCTGTTTCTCACTTCAGCTCAACTGAAGTGAGACACGAACGACTCACTCGAGGAAGTGATTCATTTCAGTACGTTCACTTAAAAGATTTGTTTTTTTTGAACGAATCCTTCACGAACAACACAACATTAGCTCAGGCAACAAGAAATTTCACTGTAATCCTTAAAAAATTCAGTTTGGCTTTTTAAGCAGTCTGTCTTTTCTCAAACTGTGCAATAAATCACTGCTTGGTTTCACAGTGCTCATCAAAACTATTGGATTTTAAACTAGAGAGGAAATAAAATGTACTGCTTCCAAAAAGTAAAAGTTGGATTAAAGTAAACATTTCTGCTCAGATGGTGATTTATGACTGTTGCCATTCTTGTTTTTGGAGGGGAGGAAGCTGCTTGCCTTATAAGTAAAATATTTTCAAACTTTCTCCTCTATTGGATTTTAATTTCATTTTCTTTTATAAAACATTTCGAATAAGCACATCCGCACATGATTTTTTTGGTCTGTGTAAAATATTCCTGTGCTGTCAGTCAATCACAGATGTTTGATGATTTCCTGTGACACAGTTATCTCAATTAAAACCTGTTCTCCATACGGGGACACCTGACCTTAAAGAATTGATTTCCATGCTGCAGGTCTCCCTCTTTCATCGAGCAGAAGCCAATATCTGATGGATTGGACTTAAGATCGATGCACTCTCTGCAGTCTGATTAATCCGTGGCCTCTCCTGAGTGATCACTGTCTCGAGCACAACAAAGAGCCAGGCCAAACATGGAGAGGATGTGCAAAGCTGATGGTGAGAGATGAATGAACTGACTCCTTCAAATATGTGTAAAAATACACGCACCTGAAAGAACATACACTCATGTCTGCCAGTCCACATAAAGGATACCTGAACCTTTTAACAGGTTGCCGCTTTGGGGCTCTTGGTAATAGACTTATCCAATAATAAAAAGCCACCTGTGGTATTACTTTGCATTAGCCCTGTCTAATTACTATGCCACACTTTAATGGAGTATCTCTATAAAAAAGCTTCAAGCAGCTGGTGTGGGGGCTCCAAAGTTCAGCCTGCTGTGAAAGAGAAACCAGAGACAGCGCTGCATAGACACTGAACTATTGAGCTGTGATCTGGGACTGGGCTTAACATAGCTCAGGGCTGCAGCAAAAATCAATGGCACTTTTGGCAGGTATGTTTTTTTGCTGATTTGGGTGACCGGTGGTGGAAAGGTACACAGCTGCTGTCCTGCCAGATTGGTTCAGCAGAGAGTGGGAGTAAATTTCTAGACAAGTTTTGTCTGTTTTTAATGTTCTGGAGTTAGAGCTGGAGTCATTTCACAGAGCTTTAACAGCTTCAGCTGCTTCACAATATCAGACACAGATTAGTAATGCACGCCTGTCTGAAAGTCCCGAATGATTGCCAAGGGACCAAGCTGGGGTCAGGTGATTTAATCTACCTGGAGTGACGATCAATGTAATGGTCCAATGCTACCATTACTGCTGGGAGGAATGAATCCACTTGAAGACCAGAAAAAGTGAGCAAAGACGGAATGAAAACAACGACAACAAAACCTGACTGGAATTGAAAATTACTCTTTTGTTTGGTCCTCTGCTGCTGTTCTCTCCACAGGCTGGAGGCCCCAAACTAGTCACTTGGAACAAGAGCGTCTCCTGCTGACCGCCCCAACTCGTCTGACAGCCTCCTGCTGGCTTTTGAAAAGGGCACAAATTCAGTGGACGCTAATAATCCCTGGTAAGGCCTGAAGGTGAGCTGTCTCTCAATACCTACTGGAGCAGAAGTTCACCCAGGGCTTCTGCGGAGAATGACTCCAGTCTAGGGCCCTGCTAATCCAGCTAACCCGGTTCACAAGGGCACTATCTGGCAGATGGGGGAGTAAGAGGAGGGCACCTATTAAGCGGTGGCCTACAGAGAGGCTTGCTCTCTCTGCATTAACATCCTCACCTTGAAATGGGATAAAAGGTGCTTTTTTCCTCTCACAACAGCTTTATAGTATTTGGGTTTTTGTCGAGTGTGAAGGTATTTTGATCCCCCTCTCTCTGAGCCGTCCATGTGACAGCTTGTTCAATGTAATCCGGAAAAGTCTTTCATTTTTATAAATATAGAGGTTATGCACAAACAGCTGCAGTCTGCCACCGGCTATGATGTAATCCTCTGATAACAAAAATACACTCTACCAAAGTAAAGCTTTTTCCAAAGAGAGGACCAAATTTAATCTGCACTGTTAAAAAATCCAGGTTTGGTTTTACTCTACGAAGGAGGATTAGGACCACAAGAGGAGAAAAAAATAATTACAGGAAACATTTTTAAAATTTCCATTTCGAGATTAAAGACGAAGTTTTAAGTTTAAAGTCGATATTTTAAAAAGTCAAAGTCTCGACTTGATTCATCTCGACTTTAATCTTGAGATTTCGACTTTAATCTCATAATTTTAATATTTTTAATCTTGAAATTTCAACATTATTCATGACATTTCGACATTTTGTAATCTCAAAATTTTGACTTTAATCTCAAAATTTCAATTTTAAATGTTGAAATCTCAACTTAATTGACATAATTTTGATTTTTTTAATGTCAAAATTTTGACTTAAATCTCCTTCTTTTAATTATTTTTTTTCTCTTCATGTGTCCCTAATTCTCTTTTGTAGGGTTACTCCTTGTCATGATATGTTATGTTAATTTAGTTTTCTCCTCCTGGTTTTATTTAAGCGCATTTTGAGTACTGTCCCCGGTTTTTCTGTTCCCTATTGTTCCTGTTCCCCTGTAGTCCAGTCTTGAGTTTTTAGTTTGACCCTGTTTCCCTCCTCTTCTCTGTGTTTTATTCTTTATATAAATTGTTAGCAGTAATCGTGTTGTGAAAAAAAATCAGGGGGGATGGTGGATTTTATTGTTTGGGACAGATATTTTGTTGTGATGATATTGCACAAAGTAGGAAACTAACTGTGCACCCATTTTATTGTTGCTAAAGCACAAAGATAATTATTATATCATATTATCACTCGGCTCGAGCTGTCGAGCAGTTACTGTTAATGCAACAAATTCCAGACTGGAAGAAAGTGGCCAAGGAAGCCTTCTTTTAATCCCTCCTAGCCCCCCCCCAGTGGGCGTTATTAATTACATAAGTTTGGAAAAAAAACCTCATTTATTCACATTTAAACTAATTTTAACCTTCAGACTCTTTTTCTGTGAGTTTTTACAGAAACCAATGTAGCATTGATTTTTAGGGATTTGTGGAAAACGACAAGGGAATAAATCTTTTTTTTTGCATCATGTGACCATTTTGACCCTCCATACCCACCTATTTTACACCCGGAAATCCTTCGCTCTATTTCCTCATTTGGAAACAGGAACCGGCATGATGGCGTGAATGGACACCCGGCAAGTAAGTGGAGGGATGAATGTCTGTGTGAGTGTATGTTTAATTAGCAGGTTGGGCTCCAGTTGTGCACCCTTGGTTACCCTGTCCAACAGAGAAAGGAGGAGGAAAAGTGTCGCGGTTTAGTGGGGAATTAGCGACGCTGGCGGGGAGGGAAATGTTTGGCGCGTGTGTAGATCAGTATTTGATCTTGTTTACAAGAACATTTCTTTATTTTATTTTATTTCTTTCTTTCTTTTTTGTCATAGTGCACTAATTTGAAAAAAAAAAAAAGCTTTCTATCTACACCCAGATGTCCCACCAACAGTGATTTGAGTTCTCCCTCGAGCTATTACAGTGACTTAAACACTCCCACCTGTCCTCATTGCTCATTTCTTCTGCATCTGAATGAGTAAGAAAAACACTTGACTGCCCATTCTCCTTAACTGAGAGTAATATAGCTCTTGTGTTTGCCTAGTTCATGGTTTTGCAATGAATGACAAAATTATCCAGACAAAGCACATAACTCTGGGTTTCCCCATCAGGCGCTCATTATGCTCAACACCTTTCCTACATAGAAGAAGAAGATCCAATCCAGATCCGGGCAGTGTCTTATTTTATGACTGCTTTTAGGAGTGTCACATTACTGTTTCCTTTAGCCTTAATGTGACACCAACAAGAGGGAACTGTTGATTTGTTGGCCCAAATTGATGCCATTCTACTCCTACTTTAGTGCTTTATTTCTAATCAGCCACACTCTCTCTCTTTTACTTTCATTCCTCATGTTATACCTTTTAATCTTTCTGGCCGTTGGAAGAAAGCCAGAGCCATTAGCCTGCTGTCTGTTTGAGGAGCGGCCTCTGGCAGACAGCGGGTCTATCCTGCTGGCTTATGGTAAATGAACAGCAAACTTGGTCACGCAGTGGACAGTATGGGGGACCTTGAGCGATGAAAGGTGAATAGGTTGTGCAAGGGCCTGTGCACTTGGAGACAGTATGTGGAAGTTGCATAGTTCATGTTTTTATAGGTTTTCTTTGAGGTGCCAGAGGAGCTGTTAGCTGTATCCGCCTAGACCTTGACTGCCTATACACTGTCCATCTCACTGTGCTCTTATAGCATAGACTTAAATGCACTGACTGACTTCACACATTTTATAAACATGATCATATTTTACTTTGGCTTTAAATGAACTTCATATTTGTTTGCTTTCTTACTTTTTTCAAACCTTTTGTGTTGTTGTGCCGTTTGTTATGGCCTTTGAGCCACATTATGACAGTGAAGCACAAAGAGAGTGCTCCTGTGCATCTGACTTTAGTGTTTATTTTTGGCCCTAGGGTTTCTGCAGCAGGATTGGGATGGAGTCACCCTTCACTGCATGACCAAGAACGGGACAAAAAGTCAACAGGAGCTGATGGATGGACAGAAATTTCTCCTCCGTTGGATGAATACAGGTTTGTCTTATCTTATCTCATCTAAATGTGATGTTGATGCTGCCTTTAACTCTCACACCTGATCAATGAAACAATTATAGGCCAGATTAACTCACACTGATGAGCGATCTTTGATTTTGATTTGTGGAGTTTTCAAAGAAAAGGAGCCTCCCAGGTTAGGGGAATAATTGCTAAAACAGCTGTCAATATCGGATAAAGCTTTGATTGCTAATAAGAGAAACACCTGACAACCCATTTTGTGATTAAACAGTCGATATTATTCCTTACGAGCGAACATCCCCAGCTTTCTTTCATTAATATTCGTGCGCCCACTTTCTGACTTCAGCATGAATGTGTCATTCATTGTGAGCTGTGCCTCATGCCCTTTCTAATCATAGAGAGGTGACTGCATCCTTGTCCTTCTATTTCAGCATAAACAGCCACATTTACATCCATCCCACCCACATGCTGCTGTAACTCTCAGGAGATTTCAGACTTCATGTATAATACCTTCTCGTAGACTGTATCTTAAAGTTAATAGAGGGCTCAGAGGCCAAACTGTGAAATGTAAATATACGTCAATTATTTTTTCTCAAACACAGTTTCTGTCATTCTAGTTCATTCTCCATATGTTGATTAACGTCAGTGCTAACTTTCCTGTGGAATAAGTTGTAATTATTTGTTTAATTTTCTAAAAATAAAAAGACTTGCAACATCATGAGTGACTGCTCTGTTGACAGATGAGCACACAATGGGCAGAAATAAAGCAGTGTGTCCATCCTCTATACAATCAATGCGCCTCAGTGTGCTGCCTGACTGCAAATAGGCTGGCGCTCACATATATTTTGTTTCATGGCGGATGTGGTCATCCAAGCATAAATCAGGGCAAACAGAAGTTACTCCTCCTAATGGTCCTTGGCTGGGAGACAGAGGCAGAGCCTTTTATGACACGGCTTGAATGCAATGATGTTTAAACACATCATTTTCTTTGTGGCTGTGCCTCTAATTTGTTTCAGTGACTTGTTCGACTTTTCACTGCAGCTCGGGACTAGATGGCACTCAGTAAATCATACTGTGTTGTACTTCGCTGCTATCCAGCTGTCAATGTGCCAGTTCCACAAGTCAGATTTTCTTCCATGCCCCATTAACAACCTATTTTACATCCACAGATGCACAGCTCTGTGGCTGCGCCTGAAATGAAACATCAAATTCAGCCTTTCTTGATGTTATTCTCTCATCTGCTGAATGCAAGTGTGTGAAAACAGGTGTATTGATTCAAATGAGGGAAAAAAAGAAATAGGACACCAAGCTGTGCTTTATAATTTACTAACATTACAAAGATTAGTAGAAAAAAATAAGATGTCCTGCTGTCACCTACATGAATAGAGAAAATGACAAAAATGTTTAATTTAAAATTGCTTCCCTCAGTCAATGAATACATTATCCTGCTCTCATGGAGCTGTAGCAACATGTGATAAAAACAAGAAATAATAGACGTTTAAAACAATCCCTTATATCAGTAGAGTTTAAAAGACTCTCCTCAAAGCAGACAAACTACTAAACTTAGACTTAACTTGTCCATGCATTTAAAAGGATCAATCAATTAATATCAACTCTAACATAATTTGCATGTTATAACTGAAAATTTCTTAAAATGTCATAGTTAGAAGTTTCAAATATCCAAAAACTTCCAAAAGCTTCTGATGAGATTTGCAGCTTTGAAGGTTTAACAACATGAATAATAACGAAGATCATTTTAGGGAATAATGATATTATGTAAGATAATGCTAGTTGTTATAATGGCATTGAACTCTAACTGGTGGAAAATGCCAACACAAAAGGTTCTGGTCTCACCCTGAAGGAGATATACTATATTCCATTCAGTATTTACTTAATGTTCACCCCTAAAGCTTCTTGTACATTATATCTCCAATACAATATTAAACAGTGTCAGAAGGGAGCAACTTCTCTCTCTATATATGAATACTGACTGAGTGTCTATCACAGAGGGCTAACAACAACAACTATATAATCACTCTCTGTTGGCCCACTTTCTATCAATAATGGATCACAAATCACCCGACACGTTCAATTCTTGGAATTCTTCACCATGAGCAATATGGTTGTGTGAGTATGGGCCACCCTTCAATAATGTTTATATATATATTCTTGACAAAATGACATGGTTTGATTGCTGAGTACATGAAAGGTGGGTGGTGAAAATGTCAACATCATATTCTCATATGTCCCCTCACCGTCCTCATGAGGAGTTGCATCATTTTTTTTTACCTTTAACCACTGTGTTTGATGGTTATACAGAAATTGAATTCCTCTGTTACTGAGAATGTGATTTATATGTGTTACAGGATGGACATCCCTCTCTTGCTGCAGTGGACCATTTCTTCTCCTGCATACTGAACTGGTGACCTCTCTTGAATCTTTGGAAAGCAGGTAATAGTCAAAAGATTTAAAAGAGAGACTTAAAAAATTGAATATCATGACAATGTTCAATATTCTCCAAAAGTTATTGAAGAAAGTAATGTATCAAATCATATACTAATGTATTATTTGATTAATATAATGAAAATACATGCCATTTTTAAAATTATAAATCAAACGCTATATTAGAGTTTATAAATGACTGTGAAAGCAGTTTGACTTGTGGTGAAATCCTTTCTGCTCCATGGCAATATTAGCACCAATATAAAGAGATATTATCCTGAACACTGACTTTTATTAGAAAACATGAAGACCAAAAGAAACCACAAAAAGGAAACTTTCATTCATAAATGAAGAAAAAATACAGACTGACAAGCCAGTTCATTTTTCAACAAGAAGCAGTTTTTGTTCACTGAATACATCATAGCGTTGCAACCTTACTTCAACGAATCACATAACATGTTTCAGTCTAAAAACACCATATCAAGAAGCAAACAATTATTGAATATACTTGAAACATTGCATTCATAATCGTTTTTTGCGCTTTATTATGGAAAACATGAGAAACAGAAATCGGTTTTTTTTTCACACAAATTTGGGTTTTTAAAATTGCAGAGCCGTACACAAATACTAACATGAGCAGGAAGTTAAAATTTCAGAATGGTGCATCATGAATAAGCAGCTCCCTGTCCTTAAAAAATTCTTCAGTACAGTGATGTTGATAGCTTTTAAGGAAGTCTTGGAAACCCACAGGTAGTGATTTTAGTGTGTCCTTTTGAAAACTTTTCAACAATTGTGTTGAAAATTTAAGTTACTTCTGAAGAAGTGCGTGATTATGTGTTTAAAAGGTGTGACAATTTACAAGGATAATTCACCTTTATGATACAGAAATGTCTCTCTTTTTTTGGCAGTTTTAAAATGTTATAAGTGTTTACAAGGGAACCCACTAGAAAAGAGAAATGTACAGAGGTCATCTGAGCATAAGATAAATGCCATGCAGTTATATGTGCTAATTTTAAAGCCAATTTAGATATGAATATGGATGAAGAATGCCAGAGAATCTGTGGAAAAAATACCATTGTCACCTATAAAATGTGTCCTTCATAGCCAATTTTGTAACTGGTAATTCTGAAACAATAACAACATGCTGAAGATGATTTTAAATAAGAAGGAAACTGTCCAGCCTATTCACTGAAACTAAAGACTGCCAGGGGTGACACTGAGGTGCACCTCCATTGACAACATTAATAGTAGCAGTCCTGCTCCGCTGATGGTTCATAGTGTATCATTCTGACTGGGAAAGACAAGGTGGGTGTCAAATTTAAAGAGTCATTTCAAAATTATATGTGTAAAAGAAGCAGGACATGTAGCTAGCAACATCACTGCAAGTGACACTTCATATCAATAACAGCTGCAAACTGCACTCTTAGTTATTTGGAGGTACCCAGTATAAGTCCAACACAGCGGACTTTTGATAACAGTAGCAGGGACAAAGTTCTCTTTACCAATCAGTCAGCGTCAGCACAACCAGACACTAGTGCTTGATGCAGTGGCTGAGATGACAGGAGAGAGGCCTGATAGATGAAGTCTTTATCTTCTGTGTTACTCATGGACATGCCAGAAGAGGAGTAAACTGGTCTAAAAGGGTGACAGGACACTATGAGCTCTGCTAAGCTGACTCGCAGTATTGACCTATAGTCACAGTAAATGCTCCAAATATACATATGAGTCATATTAACTGATAAGTTACCATAACAAAATGTATAGTTAGTTTCTCTTTTCATGTGGATTCTTGTGTTTCTGAACACTTAATTCTTATGAAAATGTTTCCATGTTATAAGTTCAAGTACAGGGATTATCCTATCTGGATTCTCATATTGTTCCAGACACTTCATCCTTCCTACAAATTGCTTTTGGTGCCAAAACTCTAGTGTTCCTCATGAGTTCAAGATGGACTGTCATGTGCCTCCTAACATGTTGTTGATGTTTAAAAGTCTTCTCGCAAAAACTACAACTGAATGGTTTCTCCTCTGTATGGACTGTCATGTGTTTCTTAACATGTTGTTGCTGACTAAAACTCTTCCCGCAAACATCACAACTGAACGGTTTCTCCCCTGTGTGGACGGTCATGTGTTTCTTAACATGTTGTTGTTGTGTAAAACCCTTCCCGCACACACCACATCTATAGGGTTTCTCACCAGTATGGGATCTCATGTGTACTGTAATTCCTTGATGGTGAGTGAATGACTTCCCACAAAGTTTACAGCTATAGGGTCTCTCTCCTGAATGGGATTTCATGTGGTCTCTGGCGTGCTGCCGATGTTTATAGGCCCTCCCACAAACATCACAACTGAAGGGTTTCTCTCCCGTATGGACTGTCATGTGTTTCTGAACATGTTGCCGCTGGTTAAATCTTTTTCCACAAATATCACAACCATAGGGTTTCTCCCCTGTATGGACTCTCATGTGTTTCTGAACCTGGTTTCGCTGATTAAAGCTCTTCCCACACACAGTACAGCTGAACGGTTTCTCCCCTGTATGGACTGACATGTGTTTCTTAACATTTCGTTGTTGAGTGAATGTCTTCCCGCAAACCTCACAACTGTAGAGTTTCTCTCCTGTGTGCACTGTCATGTGTCTGACAGCATGTATCTTCTGGATAAAAGTTTTTCCACAAACATCACAACTGAAGGGTTTCTCCCCTGTATGGACTCTCATGTGTTGCTTCACATTTTGTTGAAAAGCAAATGTCTTTCCACACACATCGCAAATAAAGGGTTTCTCCTCTGCATGAACTGCTAAATGTAGTTCAGCATTATCTTTTCTTCGAAATGTCTTTCCACATATATCACAACTGAAGGGTTTTTCTTTTGTATGGGTCTTCAAGTGTTTCTCAGCATTTTTCTGTTGTGAAAAGCTCCTCCCACAAATTTTACAAGGGAATGCTTTTATTATCGAGACTCTCCTTGGGCTCTTTTGGCTTTTAGGGGACTTTTGGTCAAGCCCTGTAACGATCTGAGGGAAGCAATGGGAATTCTCACCATCATTTGATCTTGTATTATTTTCATCAACTGGATTAGATGCCTCTGTCTCACTCCAACTGTTGTCCATGTCTTCAGCTTCATGTTCAGAATCTGACAGAGGTTTCTGCCAGTCTTCAGTTTCACAAGTTTTGCCAAACATGTTGTCTGTATCAGGTTGTAGATGGCTGTCTGGATCCAAACTCTCCCTTGATTCCATTTCCCCAAAATCCTCTCCATTGGCCTTTGTTTCCTTCTCATTGGCTGAGATGCTGGCTGTTAGCATCACCACTCTGTCCTTGACAGTTTTTTTGAGTTTTTTCTTCATTGCCTTGACACTTCACACTGACACAAATCAATGGGAACAACATACAGCCTTTAAACGGCTCCACATCCTGATTTGTCGAGAACTTGTTGGCTCCTTAGGTCCTCCTTCTCAAGAGTATGTGCTGACTCTTTGGAAACTCCTTTAATCTCTGTTAGCTGTTGGACATCTGCATGAGACACACAAAGACAGGAGTAGGAGAGGAAGAGTTTGGAATCAGAACAATATGCAAATTCCTCTAAATTGGATGTTATAGCTGCAGACCTGGCTGCAGAAACAAATGAGAGGGGGGCATTACATTTTTTCAGGGGGGCACACTTATTTAAACCTGTATTTTATCTGCTTCAGGCTTAACAGCAGCTCTGTGGCCTCTCCTACAGTATTGAAAGAGGCATTTCATCTTTAAATATATAGAAATAAAACAAACAAAATACAGTAGTGACTGTAGTGCTGTGTTCATTTATTATCAATAAAACAGAGGCGAGGGGCATTCAGAGAGCAGGGCCACACAACTCCACTTCTAGAAATCTAAGCACTGAGCCAACAGTCACACCGGAGTAAACATTCATGCTAGAGGAGGAGGTACAGCAGCTAGGGGGCACCTGGAGCAGAACGAAGCAGCATGTGTTCCTCACTGGCTGCCTTGCTGTTGCTCCTCACAGATGTAATGTTACGGCAAAGCTGTGGTAGTGTATTGTTGTTCACGACATAGGCATCATCAACCACGTTTCCAGGCAGGAGGGTCTCGCTGCTCGCTACTGCTCCTGGTGCTACCTAGCTGCTGTTGCTCCCTCCGCTAGCATGGATGTTTACTCCGGCGTGACAGTTGGCTTCGGTGTTTTAGTTCCTAAAACTGGAGCTGTGTGGCGCTGCCGCTACTTCCCGCTTGCTCCTGTCAGCGTTAGTGGTCCTTTTTTGACAAACAAAAAAACCTCTTACATCCATTTTTTTCAATGCTTACCGGTGAGTCCACCTTCGCGCCGAGTCCGTCTACGAATATTTGAACTTTAACACGGTTGTGGCCCGCCCCCTTTTACCTGTAATTGGCTCACACGTTGCATTCGATCGATTGGAGTGGTTGGATTGATTGACATTTCAAGATAGATGGGATTAAATGAAGATGACTACTCTGATGGAACAGCAACCCCAAATTAAATTAATAGAAAATTTTGCTTTTAGTCCAGGGCGGGCACGGCCCCCCCAATGCCCACCCATGCTGTATAGCCGCCATATCTTTCAAAGAGTGGTGGGGGGACATGGAGGGATTTGTCATCAAGTTTTGTTAAATCTGGTTTAGTTAGACTCTATAGACGTCTTAAAACACAGTTCCTGAGTTTTGAACACTTTAATTTATAAAAATGCAAGAAAAGGCGATTTCACCACTTTTTTTTTTAACTAAACTGCATCATAATGCAATACCTAGACTTCTCAGATAAACTTTAATAGGTCAAAAGAGCTCTGGACTCTTTCAAACACCGTTCAGAATAGTTAAGACCAGATCTGACTGTAAGTCTGTGTGTAAAGGGTAAAGCCAGCCCTTTCTTACATTTTAACAATTAACACAAACATGTGAAAACAAATAATCTCTCTTTTAATGTAGTCCAGATCTGATATATCTAGATGTTGTTGTTTTGGATCAGGACCTTGTTTCTTTAACTTTTCTTTGATAAATTTGATCAGACTGACGATTAATTGTTGGACTATCGAGTTCGGATAGAGTGTTGTCGAATCAAATCTAGATGTCACTTACCTCAATACTGCAGGATTATTCAGGGGAACAGTGGAGGAGCTCTGGCAGACGGAGTCTCTGCATGCAGTCAGTGCGGGTATGTTTTTGTCTATTTTCTGCTCTTTTCCGGTGTCGTTCGCATCACTAAGTGGACACAGGCGTCCATTAGTATAATCCTAGAGGTAATCCAGTTCGATCGGTTGGAGAAATCCAAGTTTAGTGTATCGAAATGTGGATTTGTTTGATAAAAAAAGAGAGGAAGTTGTGTTTTTAGAGTTTAGCAGTGGGCTGCCATTTTCAATCTCGCACCGATCTCGTTAGATCTCGCGGTTTCAGACTCATAAGGACGTTCCTGCAGCGCGGGATTTTGTGGCATTTAGTGAATCAGTAAATAGGCTTGGATGTGGCTTTCTTAAAGCATGTACAGAGAAAACACACGAATTTTACATTATAACCGTGGGGCATAGTGTGACATTTGGTCATTTATTATACACTATATTATCAGTAGTGACTTTTAATCTAGAAAGGGAAAAAATAGACTACATGTAACCAGGGAAAAAAGATGAATGTCTTTTCTTGCTTATGGAAAAATGTTTTATTATTATTATTATTATTATTATTATTATTATTATTCCACCACACAGTTATAAGATATACTTTGGGTGCTCAAAACATTTAGTTAGAGACTGTTGTACTTTATGTAGTTTCTTGGCAAAAACAGTGAAAACAGATATAAAAATGTGGATATTAGGGTTTTACTCATCAACTTTAATACCATTTTACCATATATACCATACCATATGACCTTTTAGTTTACTGTATTTTACTGTGTATTTGAATTAGAGTTATAAACAAATACTGACATTGACACCCAGTTAAAATGTCAGTCTTCACAACAGTACATAAAAACTGATCAGCTTAATTAGAGTGCAAAACCATGATCTAATTTCTTTAATGACATTTTGCATAAAGACTGGGCTCTTTCTTTATTATCCGGAGATACTCAAATATTATATTACACCATAAGCTGCAAGAAAAAAAAACTTCCTTTTGAGCACGGCCAGACACTGGTGCTAAATCCTGAAAGATAAGTGTTAAAGGGAGAGTGGGTGAGAAAAAAAAGAGGATAAAAACAGACTTACAGGAAGAGGGAGACATTGTGACATTGAGGAAAAAAGAGTGTGCAACAAAACAACATGTATTACCCATTTAATGGAGCAATTGCAGTATAATAGGAAGGATATCAGTAGTTATAGTTCTCACAGCTATGGCAATGAAAACATACTATAAGTCTGACTATAGTTGAAGTTTAGAGGGTCCATGGCAATGAACAAACCAGAAGAATGATAGGAGCCAGCATGACAATAGAGTAAAACCCCTCTGTGGGAGAATCAAAGCTAATTGTATGCATTAATGGTAATTTGATGCATAGAAATAAAGACAGAGAGGAGGAGAAGGGAACTCGGTGTGCCAGGTCCCTGACAGACCAAGCCTATGGCTGCTTAACAAGAAGGCTGGTCCAAAGCTAAGCCAACCTTAACCGTAAGCATTAACAACAACAACAAAAAAGTTTTAAAAGAACTCTTTGAAGTGCTTAACAGTTTTTCTTTTGTATAAATCTCATGTTTCTCCACACTTTCCTTTTGTTGATGTCTCTGTAACATTGCTGTGAGAAGGGGGTTTCTGTCCCGACACTGTCCTGTCCTCTCTAAAATAAAGACATGGAAGCCCAAAAATCAAACACCCCCCCAAAAATTTTCCGCTAAATTTTCCATGATCATCCCCATCATGACGCAATGAATTCTCTATAGAGATGACAAGGTTGACTGCAGCAGAAAACAACTGCTAGTGTAGTCTGATAGCATGGCACTTATTAGGACTTGAGCGATTGGGGTAGAGGAGGGTTTAAATGATGCAGGAGCAGCATGATTCGTCAATAGTGACTGTGGCAAAATCTGGTTGCATAAACGTCCTTGATTTAGTGTTGAGAGAAGCAGCGGGGTGAGTGATGGAGAGATACAGTATGATATGAATAAAAGATAAGTGAACAGCCTTCCTACTTCAACTTACCCTGAGCTTCATTTGTTTTTTTCCCATCATCATTCTATCATTAGTAAAATGGGAGAGTAGTTATTATGAGTACACACAACCATCGTTCAAGCGAACACTGAATATGAAAAACAACCTTGTAATTTCCCAGCAGGCTTTAAGTGCTGCTTTATTTGTCAAGTTAAGTGTTTGTATAGTTCTTGTCAGTGTTGTCATATTGAAGTCAAGAACTTGGACTCAAGTTGAGTTCATCATACCCTGATTTGACTCAGACCTGAGCATTGACTGCAGTAGGATGATTGAGAGGAAGAGTTTGGCTTTTTCATGGAGGAAACTTTTTTGTTGTTGTTATTGAAGGCCATGATTTATTCATTTTTTTAGGTTGGCATGTGTGATCACTGGCAGAGATACAACAAATCATGGCTTTTAAACATTTTACAAGCAAGAGCAGCGCCACATATGCAATATCTAAAATTCTTTTCTCTTTTCTTAGCATATCCCGGACAGATGTCTGCCTGTCAGATGCTGTTTTATTGTGCATTTCAATCCTCAACACATGCTCACTTGTTTTATTTTCAATAGCTGTTCTCACCACCTGCCCAAATCTCACCCTCATTGCTGGCCAATGATGTTTATTTTTTGTGCACAACTCTTTTCATCACAGTTACTCAATTAAGACTTACCACATGGTGTGTTATTCTTCATGTCACGTGTCGTAGCATCTTGTGTTGAAGACACGCAGCTCCGTAGTAGTCTGAATATGAATGCACCAAGAGTCCTGAGAGTCCTCTTGTGCACGCTTGGCCAGCTTCAGTGTGGGGACTGCTCCGACTGAGAGTGTGAGCGCGCAGAAGGAAGGGATGAGACTTTACTGCACTTCAGTCTGCTCTGCATCTTTTATCGGACTGCAGTGGATACGGTCAACTGTTCCGGACTGCAACTACAACACATGATGCGACGGAGGAGTTCTTAGCTGGCAACAAAGCGGGTTTAATGGGTCAATTAATTGGGGGGGAAAGCTGCCCAAAGCGAAATCACTGAGCGGCGTTTTCTGTGCGCTCTGCCCAAGCTGGATGCAGGACACGCAGCACCACAGCATCCTCGGAGCAGACTGTACAACAGACTGTATATCTGATTTTTAAAGCGGTGAAGTAGTAAAGACTAAACGGGGGATTTAAAACTCTGGAACTGTGGAAAGAGCTGATTTTCTCCGGGGGACAAACTGATGATGTGAAGCTTTTTCAAGCGCTTGGGAGAAACATAGGCTACCTTACTGATTGAACTGGACTGCTGTTCACCTGATCGCGTTTTATCTGCTCATTTGGAGAGGAGTGGGACATAAACTATCACGAGTTACATAGAAATTATACACTTGTATTGCAAAACGTTTTTCTGTCGTCAGTGGACGCACAAATACGCACACAAACTTGGGTTAAGACATTGTGAGTTATTTTAAGCTTGGGAGGGAACTCATAAATGACCTGTTTTAAAGTCTAAAATCACACCTAATACAAAATAAATTGAAGGTGCACTGTCATTGAATAGCCTCAACAATTTGTTAAAAGGACCCGATAATTAATGCTGAATATACAACACTAAAGACCAGGGGCCTCATTTATAAAGCTTGCTTACGCACAAAACCTGGCTAGAAATTGCGTACGCCACTTCTTACGCAAGAGTTGGGATTTATAAAAGAAAAACTAGTGTAGGAATGTGCGCAACTTTAAGCAAACTCCACACCTTGCTTACGCACTTTTTGGAGACAATCGGAGCAAGGTGAGAATAGTCCGGGTGATGCGTTCAGCACAACGGATGACTCGATGCAGCCTTTCTGTCCTGAGAGCTGCAGCTGCCGTACCAGGCAGTGATGCTCGCAGAAAGCACAGACCCCACTGTGGCGGTGTAGATAGTTTGCCAATTTGAATTTACAAATGTGCAAAAAAAAAAAACAAATTCCACTTACATGCATTTTTTTAAAGTTTATATGACTAAATCTTTTTGGTTTACGAACTTTCACCACATCAGCAGCGGTGGATAACGGAGCGGTTTTTTTTTTGAACACATGCACGAGTGTCACACGTGCATGTTTTTTCTGATTCTCACCTGTCGCCGCCACGCTCTGATGGTGCAAAGCCACTTTTTTCTTTGCCTCCACCTTTAGATCAGACCACTTCTTCTTGATTTCGGCACAGTTTTGTTTTCGTCTACGTCATCGTCAACGAAAACAAAACTCCACGTGTTTGCGCGCGCGCGTGCGTGTGTGTCTGTGTGTTGGAGGAGCACAGCAGGCTGATGAGAGCTGTCAGAGCGGACAGAAGCTGCTCCTATATGTTTAGCGTTTAACTGACTGAGTTTTGCGACTCTGTTCGTCATTTTCGTCTCGTCCCATCAACGTAAACGCACTTTCGTCTCGTCACATTTTAGTCATCTCCGACTTATGTTTAGCTCGTCAACGTTACGTCTTCGTCGTGGAAGAAAAGGGAAATATTTCCGTCAACAAAAACAACCAGTGTTGTTCTCGTTGATGAAAATATTTCCTTTTGACGCTGGTGTTGACGAAAATATTTGACGAAATATGACGAAAACAACACTGTTCACAATGTTCACAACACAATTCGGCAACGCTGCGCTCAGTGCCAGCCGCAATTGCCACCACGGCAACGGCGTTTTTATTGGTGATGCCACTCGAATTGCCGCCGAATAAGGTCTCCCGTCTCGCCGCCACCTCATTTACAAGAACCTCCACCTCGATCTCTGAAAAGTTTCTTTTTCTACGACTTGCTGATGCCATGGTCAAGCGTGAAATGCCGCGGATCCACCAGGCTTATTTACATGCAAATCACATTCATGAGGTAATTTGCATGACCATACATGGTGAATTTTGGGTGTGGAGAGGGCGGGGAAGAATCAAATCCCTGCTGAGCAACTTTCCAGCTGGTCTGTGATTTATAAAGGGAAAGTGCGTGCAGGTGTGCGTAGGCAGGGTTTTATAAATCAGATTTTTTTTTTGCCTACGCACTTTTCAGCTTTTCAACTTACGTACACTTTTAGTATGGATTCTACGCCAGGTTTTATAAATGAGGCCCCTGGATGTTCAAGGTTTAATAGGAATGAAAAGGATTTTAAAATTCCAAGAACAGGTAATCAACCTCACTTTTATATTTTGGCTTTTTGAGGTAATCATTGATTGGATCCATCTTATATAGGTAAAGATAACTCTCAAAGATTACCAGTGCTCCATGGGTAAGGTGAATGCACAATACAAGGTCCACAGTGGGAGCCAAATTCATGCAAACAAAAAATTCCGAGGGGGTTGTTTTAAATTTAATAATCAGAGTCAGAGCACAGAGGTACAAGGATCAGATTGCAATTTCTGAAATTATTGTCTTGTTAATATTTGAGGTGTTCATCTGGACCTTTTGAGGCCTAAACAAAATCAAAACTTATCTACACATCAAACCTGGTGAAAATTTTAATATTTGAATGATTTTGGACACCAGCATTAAAAATTGGTTCGCTAACACCCCCCCAACGCTCAGTTTTAAAAATAGACCCCATCCTCCCAGACCTTTTTAAAAGGCGTGCATGGCCAATAAGGCAATATATTTTTTAGACAATTGAGCCTAGAAATAAGCTATGTAAATTTGTGTATCTGTGTTTTTGAAATGTTTTTGCACTTGAAATAATATTTTTAGGTAAAGGGTTATATTTTTGCTTTATAGTGAATTTTAAAAATGCTTTTTGAAAATGCTTTTGAGTATTGTGAGCAACCCCTAAATACCTACGATTTTCATTGGCTATATAATACTTTTGCAAGGGTACAACAACATGGTAGGCATCTCTGTTGATGTGTCACGCAGCACTGCATGCTCTGGATTATCAGAGTAAAAATGATATTCATATTTTAAAGATGATCTTCCTTATCACCTCCAGTGGGCTTTCTCTTCCAACTCAAATTGTTGAAAATTGTGGCCCCAAAAACATGACAACAAGCCATTTGATGTATTGAAGATTTGAGGTTAGATAAGATAAGATAAGATTAGCTTTCTTGATCCCCACAGGGAAATTTTAATATTATGTTAAACAGCAGGATACAGTTTACAGATATTTCACCCTGGAAAGGCAGTTTAAAGATTTTATTGGGTCAAACCCACACAGGAATAATACAATAATCATAGATCTCAAGTTTCGGTTGGAGGTCTCAACATAAAGATTGATGTTCAAGGCTACAGGTGGAGGCTTCAGTTGAAGGTTGCTGAGAATTGGAGGTCTTGGAGGTAGCTTTTTAACGTTCAAGGAGACTTTTGGTTCCTGTCACAGGTGGTATAGATGGAGTCAGCTGCTCAGTTCGCTGTGAGTCTTAAAAGTAGAAGCATTTTCTGTGGAGGGTTGTCTGTAGCTGAAAGACATGCAAGTATTACACAAGTAAAGGATGAGACTCATGGTTACCATCATGATTGTAATCTGATTTTGACTTGTTTCTGTTTTAATGAGCTTTTATCCTCATATTTTACTTGTTGTACAGCACTTTGATGGAAAGCACTTAAATTTAAATAAATTTATTATTATTATCAAAGAGATTTTTAGGAAAGGTTAGGGCAAATTAGTACCTCACATTCTTTACAAAGGCAACAACTGGAGGCAGCAGATGCAGTTGCTGTTTATTAGAGGCCCAAGATGGAGGCGTGGACTTAGGCTTCATTTTTCTAGCAGGACTGGGTTGAAGGCACAGGAAACAGCTTATGTAATAAGATAAGATATTCCTTTATTAGTCCCATAGGAAATTCCAAATTATAGCAGCATAAATACAAATGCAAAAAGAGAAACTGAATGATAAAAAAAACTTTAGAGTTAAAAAAAGATACATGAGTTTTATTTACCATAATGCAGGTAGAGGTTTAGGCTGCAGGTGGAGACAGGGACTGAAGACTTCTTGCATTGGCTTCTGGCATGGCTTACACCAAACACTGTTCATTAGCGTTGCAGGTGGAGACATGGTTGATATTTGGAGGAGGAAGCCAACAGACACAAACTACAGGCTATAGCATTAGATTTATACCTTACATTTGATCGTAGATTCAGCAGGTGGAAGCAGCGGCTGGAGGTGATGGCTTCGGTTGGAGGTCATGCTGCAGATTAGGCCACAAATTTCAGGTCGAGCGGCAAGCTGATGAATGCTGGCTGGAGCTGCAAGCGATGGAAACAGAGAAGAACATTAGCAAAGACTAAATATGAGGTATTGGCTTGGGCTTTAAAATGTGAGTGGTGTCATGTGCTGTCAGTGTTTGTCAGATCCTCTTGTTGAAAGTCACGAAGTGCCGGTAAAGACAGGTGACGTTTGCTGGAAGAGGCTGAATTGGAGGTAGAGGAGGCAGCTGTCTTTCATTTTGTGCAGGTAGAAGTTAGCGCCCATGGTCTCTGGCAGAGGCTGCAGCAGCAAACTTGAGGCACCATCTGGAACTGGAGGTGTCTGCAGGTTCCTGGTACAGGCCTGGGCTCAAGTTGGCGGCACCTGCAGCACAATGTCACAATGTCATATAACAGATACTTCAGCTCAGAGTGATGTACATTGGAGAGTGATTACAATACCAGCAAGGGTCCAGAGAGAAGGGCACAGCTTCACACGACTGCAGCTTCCAGGTTTCAATCAGGGAGTTGGTGGCTGCCCATTCCTCATAGACGCTTTAAGTTGGGTTCGTAGATGTTGGTGTGTAGCTGAGGTTGAAATAGGAAGCATTAGTGCAACCATATACCACAATTTTAGGTGAGGGAGGCTTGAGTTTTAGGCATTAATGATACCTTTAGTTGATGGAGGCTGGACTGAGCAGCTCAGTTCGCTATTTCATTCTTCAGGAAGAGACTTGAGGTGAAGACTTTGGTAACGGCTCCTTGATTTTGTGCAGGTGGAAGTCGAGGCTGCAGCTGATATTTACTTGGGGAGTTTGCTGTTAAGAGAAGTGAGCAGAGATTTTAAGCTAGATAGATAACACAGACAGTGATGCTTTGACCTACAGTCCTCAATAAATGGTTCAGAGGCTACTATTAAAAAAAAGGTATCTTAGCAACACGGTTTTTATAAGTGTGAGTTATTGGTAGAAAAGCCAGCTTTCAACACTTACGACTTCTGGTAGAGGTAGTGCCCCGATTGAAGGTGGGGCTTTTGCTGCAGCTTTCAGGCAGTGCCGAGTGATGTCTTAGTTGGCTGGTCTTAGTTTCTCAGGACCAGCTGGAGGTAGAGGCTGAATCTTTGGACCATAACCTGCAGGTGTAGACAGGGGCAGATTGCTTAGTAGAGGCTTGTCAGCACTTCAGTCTCAGTCTGTGACATCAAGGCATTAAAGGCAGCTTGTTGTTTGGTGATGGTAGAGGCAGCTATATTTCGCTTACAGCATCTTACGTTGGCTTGGTTGTTTCTTTTCCATGTTGTTGGAGGGAGAGCCTGCTGGTGTCTAGCTCCTGGTGCACACCAGGATGTGGCTCAAGATTGCTGGACAAGAGGGAAGGTTGAGTCAATGTTCTTTTAGAGGTTGGAGTTGGACACAGGGGCTGCTGATGTGTGACAGGGACTCCAACCAAAGAAGTTTGGGTTTAAGGCATTGGCATCTCATAAACAGGTGGAGGCACATGGATTTAATTGATTGGAGATATTTACCTTTGAACAGGAGGAGGAGGAGGCTGATGGTGGAGGCTGCGGGTGGAAGCAACCATCTTCATGTAGAGGCAGAGGCAGATGTTCTTATTTAGAGGCTGCAGGTGGAAGCAGCCATCTTCATGTAGAGGCAGATGTTCTTATTTAGAGGCTGGAGATGGAGGTTTGCAAATGTGCAGCACTAAGATGGTAAAAGCTGCTGGCACATGTTGGAGGACAGGACGGAGGCAGGTTTGATTCTTTGTCATTTTGGCTGCTGATGTTTGGCAGACTGCAATCATTGGTGATGGCTGCTGATAAGGAGAAGTAAAAGAGAAGTTTGGGTTTAAGGCATTGGCTTTCATAAACAGGTGGAGGCACATGGATTTAATTGATTGGAGATATTTACCTTTAAGCAGGAGGAGGAGGAGGCGGAGGCTGATGGTGGAGGCTGCAGATGGAAGCAGCCATCTTGATGCAGACGCAGATGTTCTTATTTAGAGGCTGCAGGTGGAAGCAGCTATCTTCATGCAGAGGCAGAGGCAGATGTTACTTTTCAGAGGGTGGAGATTGAGGTTTGCAAATGTGCAGCGCTAAGATTGTAAAAGCTGCTGGCACATGTTGGAGGACAGGATGGAGGCAGGTTCGATTCTTTGTCATTTTCAGTCTGGTCATAGGTGATCGTTGGTCGAGTCAGGAGTTTGGAGGAGGCTCATGGTGCAGGACGGCTGAGGTGCTTTGAGTTGCTTGCAGAGAGGACTTGTTTTTGACAGTTCTGGATGTTTTCCCCTTATACTTATGACTAAACTTAACTTAACTTAAACTAACTTAAACTACAGTATTTACAATATGTACAAGTTTTAACCCAGAGTTAAAACAACAATGTTCACATGAAGAGAGTGAAGACTTTCATGTCCTCACTCTCTTTCTGGGTGAAGTCTTTGGCTTCGGTTCGCCAGACGTGTCCACGTCGTACAGTGGTGGATAAACTCCAACCCCATAGCTGGTGTTTACGCAGACAAGTCCGTTGTCGTCCACAGTCTCAGTGAACTGTGGACGATCCAGTTGTTCCCACAGCTTCTGCTTGATAAGACGTCCCAGTGTAAGGCTGTAGGGACGCTGAAGGCCATTCTTGTACCTGTGGATAGGAGAGGAAAGTAGTTTAAATCACAATGTTTGTTCAAGTGTTACCCATCATGGTCTGTTATAGTGGTGGATTCTTGTTTTTTGTTTCATACATACCAGAGCATGTCATCTGCCACGCTGTGGTAGAGCTGCTGGTACTCCTCCACTGACTGATGGTGAATTATCAGTGGGTCGTCATGCAGAGGTGGACTTGTCGGGGGCTGGAAATGGTGAACCACAGGCAAGACTTGAGGCAGCTCAAATGGTTCAACTGTTGGCTGAGGCCTTGGGACCAAAGGAGGATCACCGGCATCGTGTGCGTGGGAGGGCTGTGGAGCAGGATCCTGGGTCAGTCCTGCAGAATCAGAAGAACGGACCGCAGAGGTCCTCTTCCTCTTCTTAGGTTGGCTGCCAGAAGGAGCTGAATGATGGTGTTGAGAATCCTGCAAAGTAAATCCAACAAACAAGATTTCAGGCTCAAGTACATTAGAAACTAACTTTAACAATCTCACCAGTTAATTATATTCAGCAATGTAGTTGTGCCAGTTTTCAATAATATGGATTAAAAGTTTAAGTCCATAAGTCTATTTTTGGAGACAAGTCAAGTCTTTACAGAATCAAAAGGAGACAAGTTTCAATAGACTGCATTTTTATACATTTTTAAACAATTTTTAAAAAGTGTAGCACAAAGGTGCTGATAACATTTTTTGACAAGATATCAAAAATCTGAGTTTTAGAAAATTTAGAGGAAAATGCAATTTTGTTATTCTAAATAAAACAAGGGGCTGATGAGGAAAAAATCAAATACTTATGACTGTCATTTAAGTGTAAAAATATTAACTTTTAAATAACAGTGCCACCCTAAGGACAGTAAGTGTCATTTCATGTTCAACCATCCTGATAATAAGCTGTTAAAAAATAATGTGAAACTTTTTGCTGTAGAACGACTCTTGGTCAATTTAAATACAGAGGATATTAACACGCTCATTTGATTTAACCTCTGCCCTGTGACCCCTGTGGTCCTCCACACAGTACTGCACACATAACTGCCCTCATACTTTGTCACATTGTGCAGAGTTTGAACTTTTTCTCTACCAAAATATAAATAAATATAAATATAAAGAGTCCTACCTGATCATTCCTGCAGCAAAAGCATCTGCTGGCTCTGCGCTTTCTCCCTGTCTGGCACGCTGAGGCTCTCCTTTCCTTGGCGTAGTCGTGGTCCAGAAGTTGCTGAGGTGCTTCCCGCTGTAACGATACAGACACATATTAAAGCTACCTAAATACAGTGAATGCAAAAAACATTTCCTGCAAAGAAGATATGGCCTGAATAAACTGCTGGGTCACCTCCTGTGTATTCTGATTAAATGTTTGGTAATAGTAACTAGCTCTAATTAACAGTGTAAGTGACATAAAAAGTGGAAATCATTAAAGATGTATGCATGAAAGGAAGTGCTCAAGAGCATTAAACTTTCTTGAAAGTCTAGGTATATAAATAACGTTAATTAACCCCATTAAAATACACAGATTTATTAAACTGGATGTGCTAAAAACAGACTGCAGGACCCTTAGAACCAAATGTTGATGAATTTGAAGCAGAACTGTAAAGGTTATCATTTGTAAAACTGTGATCTAAAAACCTATGGTACATTGCATTATATTACTTATTTGAAAAGGGTTTTGTTGCTAATCTGTGTATTATTTAAAAAAAAAAAACTTGCTTTGCTTACGATTTATGAATGCATAAAGCAAGAGAGACACATATGATAATTTAGTTTGCTGCACATGATCACAACAGTTTTGAACGGTTCAACTCTCCAATGTTCATGTAGTTTTAAACTTAAAAGTTGCTATTTCGCGTCTATATCCCAGCTCGGAGTTTTAAATATATCAACAAATAAATTGTAGGCTACAGTGCACTAAAATGCTAACTTCGACTTTATCATAACCACGACGGCAAACAGCGGATAGGTATTGTTATGAAGTTAAAATCTTACATTTTCCATGGCGAAAGTTGATGGTGTATCTTTCAGGAGGTTTTGAGAGGCTTTAATTCCGATCAAAGTGGATGAAATCCGCAGTTGAAGAGAGTTTGGCTCGAAAAACACAGCGTGAAGAAATGTGAAACACTTTTCTTTGCCGATCTAGTTTGTTTTGGTTGGAAATGATGATTTTAAGTGATGATTTGGAATGATGCACCTGGAGAGGAACCATAGCAACCTTGGGACGCTCTCGGATCACTGCGTGCGTGTATGCGCTTTGACGATGGGCCTACACTAATGCATACATTAGTGGACTTTTAAGATGAACAGAGGCAAATTCCGCAGCAAGTTAAAATGACAGGTGTGGTGAATTAATGTTACCACCAAAAATTTCAGCCAAGGGGTTCCCCTATTTCATTGGTGATATGCATTAGGTCTCATTGAATTAATGGGAAAAAAACAATTATCTCCTTAAGCCTCAATCAAGCCCTCTGTCGAGATCAGGATAATCAAATTTGGGGGGGATTAAAAAAGTTGTCCCCAAAACTTCTACATATTACAAAGTAACATGAGCGAAGTGATTTGAACCAGGCGGGCCTATACATGATTTTGTGCATCATTAGCAAACCTTCAATTTTTATCCAGACGCTAAATTCCAACCTGCAAACTGAGTCAAGGACTTGTAATACAAACCTTGACCCATTTTCCTGTGGGTAATATCTCTAAATATTTGTATTTCTTTTTTGGGCTGTCAATGTGACTTGAAGTGGTTTTATTGAATACATTACCAAACCATGGAAAGGACTGAAAAGTATTGAAGGTTAGTAGTTTCTTAAACAAAGTTTCCTCCTTGTTTATAAGACTTACTATATATTATAATGATCTTAATCTACACTTCATTGAACTTCAACTGAGGAAGCTTTTGTGGGAATTCTTGACATTATAAGGACCAGAGTTGTAGAGTGAAATAAATAGTGGAAATCATTAAAGATGTATGTATGAAAGGAAGTGCTCAAGAGCATGAAACTTTCTTGAAAGTCTAGGTATATAAATAACGTTAATTAACCCCATTAAAATGCACAGATTTATTAAACTGGATGTGCTAAAACAGACTGCAGGACCCTTAGAACCAAATGTTGATGAATTTGAAGCAGAACTGTAAAGGTTTTCATTTGTAAGACTGTGATCTACAAACCTATGGTACATGGCATTATATTACTTATTTGAAATGGGTTTTGTTGCTAATCTGTGTATCATTTAAAAAAACAAAACCTGCTTTGCTTATAATTTATGAATGCATAAAGCAAGAGAGACACATATGATAATTTAGTTTGCTGCACATGATCACAGCAGTTTGGAACCGTTCAACTTTCTTATGTTCATGTAGTTTTACACAAAATAGTTGCTACTTCGCGTCTATATCCCAGCTCGGAGTTTTAAATATATCAACAAATAAATTGTAGGCTACAGTGCACTAAAATGCTAACTTCGACTATATCATGCCCACGACGGCAAACAGCGGATAGGTATTGTTATGAAGTTAAGATCTTACATTTTCCATGGCGAAAGTTGATGGTGTATCTTTCAGGAGGTTTTGAGAGGCTTTAATTCTGATCAAAGTGGATGAAATCCGCAGTTGAAGAGAGTTTGGCTCGAAAAACACAGCGTGAAGAAATGTGAAACACTTTTCTTTGCCGATCTAGTTTGTTTTGGTTGGAAATGATGATTTTAAGCGATGATTTGAATTGATGCACCTGGAGAGGAACCATAGCAACCTTGGGACGCTCTCGGATCACTGCGTGCGTGTATGCGCTTTGACGATGGGCCTACATTAATGCATACATATTACCGAGGCTTAAAAATGCACTTTATGCATGCTGAAAGATCGCTGCATAAGCTTGAAACACAAATGTATGGCCCAATAATTAAATGCAAAAAAAAAGAGGGGGAAAAAACTTTTAAGATGAACAGAGGCAAAATCCGCAGCAAGTTAAAATGACAGGTGTGGTGAATTAGTGTTACTACCAAAAATGTCAGCCAAGGGGTCCCCCTATTTCACTGTTGATATGCATTAAGTCTCATTGAATTAATGGGAAAAAACAATTATCTCCTTTAGCCTCAATCAAGCTCTCTGTCGAGATCAGGGTAATCAAATTTTGGGGGGATCAAAAAAGTTGTCCCCAAAACTTCTACATAAATTACAAAGTAACTTGGACAAAAAACAAGTGATTTGAACCAGTCGGGCCTATAACTAATTTTGTGCATCATTAGCAAACCTTCAATTTTTATCCAGACACTTAACTCCAACCTGCAAACTGAGTCAAGGACTTGTAATACAAACCTTGACCCATTTCCCTGTGGGTAATATCTCTAAATATTTGTATTTCTTTTTTGGGCTGTCAATGTGACTTGAAGTGGTTTTATTGAATAAATTGCCAAACCATGGAAAGGACTGAAAAGTATTGAAGGTTTGTAGTTTCTTAAACAAAGTTTCCTCCTTGTTTATAAGACTTACTATATTATAATGATCTCAATCTACATTTCATTGAACTTCAACTGAGGAAGCTTTTGTGGGAATTCTTGACATTATAAGGACCAGAGTTGTAGGAATAAAAAGCAATTGCTAATTTTTTAAAAGATATTCAGAAAAGTGTACATCAAGTATTTTCCCATGCTGTCTTCTACCATCATTTCTCAAGAAGCAGGTCAAGCCCCTCTGCTCCACATTGTGGTGATTATACTGATATTGGTACCGTGATGTAAGGCAGACCAAGAGAAGCTCCTCAATATCTTCTGCTCTTGTCACAAGCTGTGATATGATGGCCGGATTAATTGTGGTGCTAGTGCAAAAAGGATCTAAAGCTTAATTTAGCCCGGGAAAGTAGTTTCCACAGTAGCTCTCTATCAGTGGAGGCTATTTTGAGCATTAACAAAGAGATAATTGTGTAATGCTTTGAGATAAGTACTTCTGTAACATGATGAAATTGGCAAAAATGTGTGTGGACACTAGATGCAAACAGCTCTCAGGTATGGATACCTCAACACTGGTTTTGTGCAATGCCAAATATGGCAGTCTGATCTGATACTGTGGTTAGATGGACAAGCTTACCTCTGAAAGGGATCCAGCAGATGTCTAATGTGCAAGATTACATCAAATTGGACTTTAATATTGCTTTCTTGACCTGGAAAAGCTACCCTTGTGAAGTGCTGGTAGATTGAATAGTACTCGCATATCATACACATAAAAATTATTGAACAGAAACACCAGCACAACAGAATGCCTTGATTTGACCAAAGGCCTCACACATGGAGATTATGGTGAATCCTGCAGTTGCGGCACCCAAAGGTGGATAAACACAGCATTTTGGCACGTCTGGCATTTTGTTGCCTCATGGGGTGTTACAGGTCTTTTTTTTCTGAATTGGTTAAGTGTGATGAAGATGCTGCACAGAAGTGAGAGGAGGCTGCCCACTTGTATTGACTGGATGATTTATCTTCTTATCCCCTGATGCTTTGTGATTCAGGATCAGGTGTGATGCACTGCAGCTGTGTTGTGAGTGGGAGGAGAAGGTGACCCCCACACTGTAAAAAAACAAAAACAAAAACAAAAAGAATGATACTTTTTTACATTATTATTTTACAGTATTTTCAGCTGTTCTTTCTCCCCGCCAGTTTTTTTCTTTTGGGGGTTGAGGGTACAAGATGAACTTGAATATATAAATTCCTTAAATAGACACTAATAGCAGTGGCGGCTGGTGAGAAAAATAATAGGTGGGGCTGAAGTTTTGGAAACCAGAGCCCTGTAGGGAGGTCCGGGGGTAGATGAAGCATTCTGGTGTTGTCCAAGAAAATAATTAAGGATACATACGATGTTGACCTGGGGTGGGGATACTGTATTTCAACATATTAACAGGGTATTATAGCTGACACACAGCCTACCTACATTCAATGTAATCCTACGATATAGAGACTGACAGTAGCTCTTACTCGTGTACATCCACCTGCATCTCAACAGGTTAGGCTACAGCAAAGGAGCACACAAAGACAACTGCAGAAAAATAGTGAAGAGCAGACCCACATTTATAATAAATCAGGCTGCATATCAAAGTGATCAGCCAAGGAAAACAACACAAACATTTGCTTTAAATACAGAACAGTTTTACTACATTTGATATTTCAGTTGAACTGAATTGAAACTGGGTGAACAAATACAGGGTTCCCACTCTTTTACAAAAATCATTTTCCAGGATGTTTTCATCCTGCCTTAAAAGTTATTGATTTCTAACATTGTCGCATGAACATTATCTGTTAGCTTTCATGTAGTGTCTCACTATAATACATTTATGGTTTATATTTGGTTTTAATCTTTATAAACTCTACTTTTCTACAAACAGATTCTGTTGACTGACTGTTTCAGTAGCCGAAATTTTATTTTGCCAGCTTTAAAATTTCTTTTTGTCACCATTAATTTACACGGGAAACAAAAAGGGCCTTACTCTTCGGACTTACAGTTAGCCAAAATTTGCGCCTATACCATGCTCTTGAAAATGTCCGTGTATATTGTCTGCTCTTCTCGGCGGTCACTCACTGAGCGGCAACGTCTGGTCGATCCGGACCGAACTCTTTCAGCTTTCGTTAGTCCTGCAGAGTTCTCCTCTCAAACCGGACCTACTTATTGGATAGCACAGCATTCTCCGGTAAATCACTCAGTAGGGGGTTTGCTGTCGTCATTTCCACGTCCTCTGTCATTAGCAGCCAAGTGCAGAGTGAGGAGCGGACCAGCTCCCAGTAGATAAGCCAGCTACCTCAGACGCACATTGTAGCTATGCGTCCGTTTGTGGCCAATTTCGTTATGAACGTGTTTACGTCATTCAAATTAGGGACACTTGGGCCAGAGCAGTGGATTAAACAACTCCTGACTAAAAAAATGTAATTACATTTGGGACATACATTTGTACATATAAAGGGGTCCCCTCGATATAAATAACACACGTATTGGCATTAAACTTGTTGATATTTTATCA